GCCACTCGTTGGCAGTGACGGCGACGCCGGTTGCAGCAGCAGTAGAAGTAGGCGACGGCGTGGCTTATGCCAAAGATGCAAAAATGCGTCCCACGAGTTCATTTACAGTTCGGGATTTTCAATGAATCGCGCGGCTCCACCACTGCATTATATAATGATCTGTGCCACCCTTACATGAAGGGTGTAACAAAAGTACGCAGATGATGGGTAGAAGCATCTGCGTCTGTCTGCATCGTCGCAGAAAAACATCACACCACTCTCGTTCTGGCCACTCTCGCCACTTCGAACAGACCAATGCTGCTGATACTTTTGGAACGCTGCAAGAAAGCGACACACATAGATATTACCATGTAGCAAATGGCGACAGCATAGCCAGCCATAGATAAGAGATAGAAAATACAAAGCAATATATGTATTTCACCGTTGGGGAGTCACCGGTAGCACCAGGCCACACCCCGAATCATATACCGGCACTATTTCTTGTACCTCATTACTATTGTTATTATGGCCGCCATTATTATCGTTGCTACAGTTGGGTCGGATAAATGACGTCACGTTACGAATCCAGCACCATTTTCCTCTATATTGTCAAGGGATCGTTCATCACATTTCCGTTTCTTACGAGGGGCAACACGGCAAATGCCGTATTACTCTTGGCTGTTTACTAGGCAGTACGTTAAACAATAATTCCCTATTTTCGTCGTGCAACCGCTTTACGCGTATACCAGCAACTCTTTTGCTACTCACTTACCACGTAAACGTAAGTCAACAACAGCCAAGACATAGTGACAGACTTCGTCGCCGAAAAAATTGCTCAGCCGAAGGATGCGATATCATGCGTTGCGGTCACTGCGCTCCTCTAGATTTCGCTTTGCACATAAACGCGACGTCGGGCATAGAGGAAGTGGTCCCAAGACTTTTGTCTAGGAATAGACCTGGGCGGGTCATTGACCATTGATCTGATGTACCAAATAGACGGTCAATTATATAATCAATCTATAAGACATAAAACGAATAAGTCGACGTCGAAGCCATCCCTTGTTACGTAGTAGTTGGTGATGCAAGCATACCCCCTCATGGGCAGTGGGCCGAATCGCGTGGTCACTAAATGGGCAAAAGTATATGAAAAAAAAGACACCGTTCATGATGACTGAGGCGTATGGTAGAAAGTATTTCGTGATTTACACATTTCTGCTGAAATGAAACGATTTCTGGGAGGTACTATGCTCTTGGCGCAGCAATAAACGAATGATGTTTTACATATTATCGGCAGCGTAGTGATCATTTCCCGTTCCTTATCTATAGCAGCTGCCACCATGTTGAGATTCAGATACGTGCTAGGGTTGTGATTGCCTCGTCGCCGTGATACTCTTTAACTATGAAACGTGGAAGGCTGTGCTACATAAATTCAGAAGTGGCCGAGTAACGAAAAACACTTCACCATAACCTCTACGCCGACAGTTGGGTTCGATTGATCGATTAGTGGTAGTTTTTGGCCATAATCGAGTTTCGTTCCATCATCGACGAGAAAACGGGCTTTAAAATTCTCCACTTGGAAATATCCAATGTTGCTAACACTGAAAAAACGCTATTCTCGTTTCATCAATATTAGGAGACGTAAATCGCAGCAGTATTTGGACCGTCGACGATAAAAAGTCGTCCCGCAGCAGTCATATATATATATATATATATATATATGCGTGTCATGATCATGCATGTGCTGATTGTACGTAAAGTTACGCTTATTTCTTAAATATAACTTGCTCGAGCAATATTAATTCTTTCAATGCGAATTTATGCCAGACGCTTTATTTTATATGGTACTGCCACGCAGACACAGTTTCGACGTGGCAGAGCAGTAACGCTGACCAGTCTGACGGCTGCGGCTGTGAAAAGGCGAAAATCATTAAGAGCTGGCCACTTATAGCGTGGATACCTGAATTTCAGGGCGCATATCAACGCCGTTCCTCGTATAATCGTGAGAAATCATCAATCAATTTCCTTTGCATACTTACTGTGAGTCGTGTAATAAAATAGGCAAATGAAAATTAGGACCAAAATATGCAAAGAAATAATTCCGTTCTATAAATCTTTAGAGGCTAACATTTTCAGTTCCCAAAGTGTATAAAGCATACCAAGACTAAACCACGTTATCTGCGTGTTACGTTTTCTGCAGAATCATTTAAATATAATAGAGCTTAGGCAATATAATAATGCAAGGCTCGATTTATTTGTAGTGGGGAATTTTATGGCACAAAGAATAGATAGAAACTTCCAAATTGACAAAACAAATTGATGCTAGTAGCAATAGTAATTACCTGACATACTGTTTGGTAGATTTTTTTTAGCACTAGGACAATAACGTATGGATTTGAGCAGTCTACACTAATACCAGGTGCTGCTCTATTGTAAACGTCCTTTATGTCGCTTTCGTACATAACCGAGTGTCCCGATAGACGTCTAGAGACTACCGTTATCGTGAAGTTCAATGAAATCATATCACAGCTACTCTTTATACGTGAAGTCCCTGAAGGTAGGCGAAGTGGCCATTTATGGTGAAACTTAATGGACGTCTGAATCTTCGAAACGTGTGTTGCTCATTTCCTCTAGTTCTCAGTTGCACATATGGCCGCAAGCTCGGGTTGATCATGAAACGGTAGAACATAAATGCTCTGTAAATATATCGTGCCATCATAAAAGTCTGATGAAGACCTAAACGAAAGCCTAGTAGTGTAACCTTCTAAGGCAAAATCAAGCGAACTAATAATAAGATATTTTATGTCTTAATCCAATATTATATATGTATTATAAACTTTCGCCAGTAACGTTGATATATTACTTCTATCCTTTCTCTATGTTATAACATCTTCACGTTTAGAGACGGTATGAGAGTACGTAATGTATTAGTCGCTGACTTCGTCAATGTTTTCCTAGGGAAAGCTAGGATGCTGAGATCGCCTAAAAGACATTGTGTTGATGACGAATTTTGATATGACCAAAACATTATCCCTGTCCTTACAGTTCGTTTCGACATTTAGCGAATGACGAATTAAGTTAGGTATGTTTACCAAGTTACTACGAGATGGCTACTGCTTACAGGTTCATCTGTCTCAAACGCTGAAAGTGTGCTATGGCGAGCTTAACGTAACGCTTAGTACCTGGAAAGCACTCTACAGGACGTAGCCTGATCAAAGTGCCGCATCACTTAATTCGAGATGCCCTGAAACTGCATTTGTTAAGGTATTGCCACTCGGCAAAGCTGGCGATGTTACCAGGGTATCAAAAACCTCGTGCACCTGGTGAATGAATAGAACTCACTCTGAAAAGACCTACCAATGAAGGATTGACTGCACGAACTGTGATAAGACATAGAATATTAGCAGAGTGTCGATCTAATATAGACGCTGGTCTTTATTGAAATAAGCCATGTTCGTCGCTGGTTCCTTTATACTAACGAAAAGTAGAATGGCTAGCGGCAGCAGCAATGATTACAACTATTGCTATAGCATGTACGGCTATAGCATACGGTATAAAGAAATCTGGCGATATTTAAAACTGAGCTAAAAAAAAAAAGCATCAAACTAGTTAACTAGGATGATGATTTTTTAATACATGTTAGGGGGTGTTCATTTTTAATTTCTACATATTTGTACCAGCGTTCTGGCAGCTTCTGGGTAGCTGTGTATTTTTATAATGCAATTTCTTTACTTATGACTGATCAAGGTAAATCGATAGTTCGGATTCGCTTGCCCACCAGTCGACCTTTATAGAACATAGAAATCCCTATAATCATATGATAAATTCAAAAAATAAACGGGTCAAACCCAACGTTGGATATTCCTTCCGGTGAGTTTAGGGTTTTCAAGTAACCACACTGTGTTCTTTCTATTGCCGTGCCAACAGGCTATGAATTTCTTGAGGAGCTTGGGATGGTGGGTTGTATTTATTGTTCCATCTTCGGTGAGTATCTCATACTGTTGCTAATACCACCATTGCACTACGTCCACACTTACTGAAACCGAACTCGATGCTGTTCCAAATTTAAGTTGGTCCCTTTCACGTTGGCGGTAACAACTGAGCCATCCCTTCACTATGGCGATCGTATACTACGGGCGGGCCTTTTGTTGATTAAATTTGCAGACTTTACGTCAAATATACCAAACTAATTTCTAACAGGCATGGAGTTAATTTACAGAAGACCTTTTTCCACTCAGTTTGCGCATTTTCAGTATTTAGATTATAACGCTATAACAGCTTATATCTCAATGCCAGTTTGTTTTTGGGTAAAAGTCTTCTCGGTGGCGGCAAGCCATTCATGACCCTTGGGTCCCGATATCTGGTCACGTGTTCGTTGGTCCTCAGTACTCCAATTTCCATTCATGTATTATGCTTTCGCTTAAGGCATCCATGCCTAGTACTTTCACCAGTCTTCAAAAAGTTCCTGCAACGCTACGGTCTTCGAGGAACAAACCTTGATCGACCATTGAGTGCTGACTTTCGAGACTAAAAGATGTTTTTTCTTCTAAACCTATTTCTCCTAAGGTGTATTCACTCACAAGTTTTTGGAAGATTTAGGTTTCGTCTGCTAACAGCGCGTAGTCCAGAAGATGTTCAATTCTGCAGTCCGCCGGATTCGTCTGCAACGGCCTAATATTATTGTTACTACTAAATTAAAATAAACAAGCTTCAAGGAGGCCCAGTGCATATCTTACTGTTTTTCTTACTGTCAATCTCGATATCTGAATCGTGACTACGGGAAGAAGAATAGAGGTTATTCCAGCATTTTCACTGATGTGTTTGACGGTCTCGAACTACCTTTGGGCAACATTAGCGTGTCGTGCGGTTTGCATAGTTATCAATCGGTTAACGTGTAGATGATCGTACCTTGTCGTTTTTGCTATCACTTTTGATAACGATTTAAGTACCGGGTTTTCAGATGGTTAACACTGGAATCTAGCTTGCATTCTTAATGTTTATTTAATTGCGCTATTGCCTTACAGATGCGGACGGCGTGATGCAAGTTACCGTTCTCCTGGCTGTGCTGGGGGGACTCCTCCGCAATGAGGTGGTCAACGCAGACCCCCTTGGCCGACTTGGTTGCCACTACTATGAGCACGCTCTAATATTCAACTGTGACGGATCTTCATTAGATCGGGTTCTTGAGGCTGTTCGCTATTTGGAGCAGAAGTTTAGTCACACAAATCGAATACCAGTACGACACGTCAACCTGCTTCATGGAGACTTTACCGAGCTGCCATTTTTTCTGTCGAAATTCAATGATACGCTCGAAGGCATTCGAATACACAATACAAACTTGACACACATTTATCCAGACGCGTTTTTAAGTCTCTCCCGAGTGCGGTTTCTTGATTTAAGCAAAAATAACCTGACAGCAATTCCATACGCTGTAAGCGCGCTTCACAACCTGCAGTTCCTGAATGTATCATCAAATCGGCTTCGTACTCTAGAGCCACGGTCTCAGTTTTCCAGTTGGAGAAGATTACGGCTTTTAGACCTATCAACTAATTACATTGACAAGCTGGAATTCCTCGACCTTAGCCCATCGTCTTCAACCATTGAGCGTATTCTCCTAGACAACAACGATATACAGTCAGTGCCACAAGAATGGAACTCATTACTAATGCCTCAATTAAAGGAAATTAGTCTAAACAATAATGCCCTCAAGACAATTCCTGTGTTTCACGCGAGATATGTTCCTCGATTAACGACCGTACGTCTTCGCAAGAATAATATTGAAACATTCCCATTTTATTTTATGCCAACCTCTCCGGCAGGAAATCTAACCGTCGACATGTCAGGTGAGTCAATGCTGTTTCAAAATTTCAAAAAACCTAGAAACGCTTTTTTGCTACATATATGTTCAACAGTATTTCTATTAGAAGCATGTTTAAAATTTCTAGTCCTCGATCGTTTTTTTAAGGACGAAGCATGTAAGTTTATATATGTGTACGTGTTTTTTGTCCCTCCCGCATCAAATACCTCATCTGTTGTCATCAAGCAATGCTGCATTAATCTATTGCCAGTAGAGTTGGGACTGATGATGAAGAACCGAAAAAGACCCATGCTCCTGATCGGGACGCGTATTATAATTAAATATTGTAATAATATTACCATATTATAGTGGTGTACCCCTGAGTTCAGAGCACAAGTTTTTTCCGATCTGAATCTTGCAAAGCCTGTGTTATTTGGAGCAGTTACTATTCAGTTGCTAAAGCTGTAGGCTCGCTAAATGTCGGTAAAAGCTAAAAGCTCTAGGGTTAATAACCCCACAAGGCTACACGGAGCGTAACGAATTTCATTTGAATTTTTTTTAAACCTTATTGCTTCCTACACTGATATCAAAGGCTCAACTAACATGAAAACTGATGAAGTTACTGCTGATGACTGAATACGATACCTCGTGATTGAACTCTTAACAAGTGCACTACCATCTTACCGATATTGATACAAAGAGATCCATTCTTTAGTTCCCCATATTTTTCAATTTGGATTTTACGATTTGTTCCTTTTTTGGATCCCAAGCTGCGCTCTAACACTGCGACAATTTTTTGACCATGAATGACTTGTCTGATTGTTTTACACGTTAAAAAGGACAGACGATTTCTGAGTGGAACAGTGGACTAATTATCAGTGCATAATTATTAAGACAACTTCTCTATACGTGTCAAAAGACACCTACAACATTCATTTTTACACGGTATATCAGGCAGAAAATTGTTGTACGATCATTAAGTTAAAAACATTATATATATATGGCTATGTCAGCTAATGAGCTGAACTTAATGGCAAAAATAATCTTGATCTTACACTGAAAACTCTCTGAATTCCTTAAACACATGTCAAAATATCCATTGCATCATGCTAGGAAGAGCTCGAAAGATATCGTTAATTGAAAGGACCAAAATAAGTTGCTGCCAATACATCCCGGAGTGAGCTAAGCACGAAGCACAAACGCAGGACAAAGTTCTTCAGAAAATAAAAGCTAAGAACAAAAGTTATTAGGACCCGTTAATTAGGTGAATTTTTTTTAGATTAATCATCACACAACTGAAATGGCAATGTTGAAAGCTGTCGCTATGATAAAGTCGAGTATTATTTTATGAACTGTATGATCTTTCAGTATTATATAATTAATTATAACGTCGCATAGGTATTTCGCCACTAAGTATCTTCCAAAGTAACAAAATGAGACGAACTAATCTAATAGTCAACTAAGTAAGGGTAAGCTAAGAAGCGTTAACGATTTGGTCATGTGCTGGCTCCGATATGTGTCGACGTTTGTAAAACAGAAGCACAAAAAAGCCAGTTCTTTTGATGGCAGAGACTGTCAACCAGAGAACACGAACATTGCCTTATGTTCTTATTGCAATAACAAGGACATTAGCTGCAAAAAATGACTACTTGAATATTTACTACGAATGACATTAGCTGCGTCCGCTCAGCACCACAATCCAGAACAAACTGCTAACCTTCCAACCTTTCAGACTTATCTTCATTTCGTCTACGTAAATGAACCAACTGGTTATCTATTTTGCCTTCAGCGCGCTGTCCGTTTCTTTTCAAAACCACTGAAAGAGCCTAATGTTCCACACAAACTAACACTTAAGACATTATAATTGTTTTTCCTTGTCTAACGGGTTTCGTAACGCCGACACTTATTCTAGCTGAAATTGCTTTGTTTAAATGGACACAAGGACGTCGATGCCGTATGTGTATTTTGAAGCGTTCGAGGGAAGGAATCGGAAAAACATTTTTGGGTAAATCTCATTCCGCAAGGCTGCTTTACGTATTAGAAGTTAGCTTAAGCGGAAAACAGTTTTTTTTAAGAAAAACATATCCAGCTCTTCCTAGAGCATCTGCTACTGGATGATCAGGCCAAACGATGCACTCCGCTATTGATTTATTTATATAAAGAAAAGAGGTGATCAAGAAAAGCAAACGTTTGAACACGGCAGTTCCGAACGAAAGCATCGTAGTAGTAGTTACTACAATTTCAAATGTAACTTCCTATCCAGTCGGCATTTACTCAATAAAACAAATCAAGTTCACCTAAGCCTAATATGCAGCTTGCTATATGAGAGCCAAAGGTCTCAGACATACAAAATAAAGGATTGCGTCATCGAAAAATGAGACATTCCTACGACATCACAGGTATTGTTGTTATTGTGCGTTTCCCGATTTGATTACTTTTTCCTTCCTGTTCGTTAAACAGAATCAACCTAGATGTGTATCAAAGAAGTGACGCTCGATCACAGAGAGCGAAAAAGCAAATCAATGGATTTAAGCTTCTGCTGCAGCGGTCGTCCGGAAACGAAATAGACTAATTTTTACAGCTTTTATTATTCTGTTGGCGGCATGTCTATATTTATCACAATTCTGGCCAAATGATAGTATTAAATTGTTTCCCGCAAAGGAACAATTTACCTATATACATTCATTTATCTTCAGATGTGCTTTTGTTCAAACAATAGCCAAAGACGCTGGCTTAAGACGTGTGCTTTTCAGAACGCATTTGGTTCGAAATTGTTCGCCGTCCGTTTTCCTTGTTAGTCCTCAATTATGTTTCGAAATTGAAGCTTCGAAATCGAAACATCTACCATAATGATATTTTCGTCAGTTTCTGCTAAGAACTTAGTTCCTTACGTTCCCCTTAGGCGTGCTGTTTATGTGTCTATGTTCTTTTTCGTACTTAGTTGAATTTAAGGGCTGTCTTCAAAATCTATCATAGCTGAGTTGAGTTTGCTTGCGATAGGGTTTGTTTGCCAATGACAAAGATTAGACAAAAGCGAAAGTTTTTGCTTTTCAAAACAAACTACTCGTTTAATGTAATATGCGTGTAAGATTACTCTTTCTATTACAGTTTTTGATACTACTCCTGAGATTTTGGAGAAGTGTAACGTATTTGTTGATACAAAATACATCAAATGCTATTTCATGATAGGAACATGAATCAGACGTCGAGATTTTTCACCACTCATTGCACTGGCTTCCGTTATCAAACTCGGTCATGATTAGTTGGAGATCACCCGGAGATACAGAGCTTGCATAGCCAAAATTGGCAGGGAACGCAAATTGGAATATTATACGATAAAAAGTCAAGCATGAATATGTAAGTTCTTCTAAATGTCAGATTGTGCCTTGCTTACTCACGTATCCATTCGGTTTCAAGGACCGAATAGAGACGCTAATAGCAAGGACAATTTCGAAAATTAGACGACCAAGTATTATAATTTCGCACGAACATACAGATATGCATTTGGTTGTTTTTCAGAGATATATATGTGCACGTATTTATTTACGTCATATGTGATAATCTGGATGATAAGGACTTCTATTATCAACTGCAGGCGTCATCTTAGATTAGACGCCCTTGTGCACAATTCAAACGAATTATTTTCGTTTTAGTTGTAGTGGTGGCACTTGTAATTGCAATCCGCTGTTTTATCGTAAATGCTTTGCCCGCCATGCGGTTAACCTGCGCTGCGCGAAGCCCTGCTTCTGCCACGGCTAAGCAGTACGATTGGTAAGCTGAACGCGTTTGACCACGTCTCTCCTAAACAAGCTGAGCTAAGAATATAGGTTCAGTGAGTCTTGACCATTACGATACTTAGACTACTTGAATGCACCGCTACGGATCTCTGACCCCGGCTATCTCTGTCTGAATGGAGCTAGGCTGGGCGACCATCGTCGCTGTAGAGCGATAAAATCGTACACAGACATGACAAAAAGTGCCAACATTAGCAATTCTGTCAATATTCGTTTCATTGCCTTCTGTTCTGGTCTTGGTTTCGAGCCATGCGATAGGACAATCAATGAACTAGTCGAACTGGATTTTGATGGCGGCACCCTTTTAAGACAAGGTCACTTAAAGGGCGCGATGAAAACTCAAGTCGAAGTTAGCAGAAAAAATGCAACCCAGAGAATATAGCCGTTGCAGCACGGTAATAACTATACAGCTCAAAAGCTTTGTCTGAAGTCAGCGCTAAATTTCTGTATGCTTTCCGAACTTTCTTCCGTCAAAAAAACGATCGACAATTTCCGCGAAGCATCGAATTATAAATTATAGTGTAGATGTTACCTGTAGAACATGTCTTTGCATATAACATTCCATTATTCTCGATAATATGCCCTTCTGAAGGGTGGTCTATAGCTCAAAACTAACGCTATGCCCACAACTAGGTGCCTTATAAGAGGTTAGAGGCTAAGCAAGACGCGCTGGAAGGGAGCCCCAAAGGCAGGTTCAGTCGTAGGTCTAATAAGATAAACACATTCAGTTCGAGTGGCATACGTGGTATAACAATTATAATATTCAAGATGGCCTGATCATCTAAAATAATGTTATAATAATCAAAAACTTTTTTTGTAATTTGTAAATGTTAATACGCTCCATAGGGGTGCATCGTTTGCAGCTCGACGCTGATAATAGAGAAGGCTGATAATGATAATATATGATTGGAAGAATTGATTTTTAGTCCAACACAGTTTTTGCTCAAAGCAAGTTTTTTCGCAAATAACCTTTTTTTTACACGTAAATATATTGAATTGGCAATCATCGTAATAACAGCGTTATCTCTATATAGCGATTTCTGAACGGAAACTTGTGGTCTATAATGGGGGTGTCAATACTGCTTTTAACTGATTTATGTAGCTAGTGTATAATGGATTCGGTATACCACTCTGATTTATTAGAGATAAAAAGCTCGGTCTTTTTAACTGTAATCTTACATTCATTCTTTACCATAGTTGGCCTGGAAAAATCTAGCTTATAACCTATATGACATCGTTTATAGCTAAACCCGTGATCTGCCTATTCCACGAGGTACTCTTACGCGCATTTCATGTTAAGAACCGCAGCTGCATGTACCAGGCGCTGCACATTAGGGAACTGACTAAGCAGAAAACACATTAATCTTTTACATTTATTTAATGTTTTGCAGGCAACCCTTTACGCTGTGATTGTCAATCGACGTGGCTTCGAGAATGGCGTCTGCAAATCCCAAACGACTCTCTCCATCTTTCATTGCCAAACTGCGCACACCCTGTTTCTCTACGGGGGGCCCACTTAGAAAATATCAACCCCGTGGGGCTCGCCTGTCCCAGTTCACACTTCGCACCTAGGTACACCAAATAAATGACAATCCAAAATATATCGTACGAACAATAACTAACGAATTAGGCCTCCTGGCCTTTTGTCCCACAAAAACATGACAGAAATAAATATTTCGAGTTTTACGTTCGCCATTTCAGCCATTAGGTATTATTACAGACTATAAAGACATGATTCTCATCCTCAAAATGCTATTCAATTCCGCACCATGGATATTTTTAACGACAGCCTATGCATTGTTTCTGCAAATTCGTTGCGACACTTAAGCTTTACTACAAGACGTTTTACCGTCAAGTTTTTGGCGTGCTAACAGAAGCTGAACCATTATAGAGAATAGTTCCTTCTCACAATCGTAGCATACGTGTCGACCTTTCTAGCAAACGAGAAAGCGCTTTTGATGGATCCCTACCAGGTTTAATAATGGAAAGTCGTAACAAATTTATTTGCTTATTTCAAGAGAATCATCGAAAGTAGTGCAGAAGGATTTGTTACTTTTAAGGTCCGTTGTAACATTGTTACCGTGGAACAATTGTGCTTAAGCTTGTTTTGGTATTGTTGATTAGTAACTTTACGCATAATCCGCAGGATATGCATAAGAAATATCTCGTTCACATGCTACCGATACAGTTTATTTCTGTCTGTAAGCCTGTCATTGGAACACCTATATTGGCCACACGGATATTTTATCCTATATAATTTGATCGACTCTGGTTCGTATCCATGTGCCGGCCAAATCGACTCAAACGGCTCTGTTTGTGTATAAGGCTGACTTGGAAGCAGATATATTTTTTAGGTAATTTTCTTTATTATTATTTATTATATTTTGCTTTACCATAGATCTTCTCAAGAGTCTATCTCTGAAAATTCCCCACCACACTCTTATATCTTCCCCTGCCTCCTAAACTATCCGATAGATTCGTATTCAATATTTCTTCTAATCTATTCATTATTAATAGAGGAGACAAAGTAAGCTAATAATAATAATGAATTTTAGGAGTAACTTCTGTCGTTCTTTTTCTTTGCTATATCAACATATTTTCGTTTTTGTCAAGTTCTAGAAGTAACGAACACATTTGCGTTTCGACCACTCAGGTATCGGGCTCGAGGCTTTCCAAATCATACAATTTTGGCCCTTACAACACTTGAGCATTCAATTTCCGTCACATGGAAAGTCGACGATAAACGTAAGTAGACTGTTTAAGTTAAAGAAACTTCTACGACTGTTCAAGTCAATTCGTAAAATTGCAAAAGCAATGCAATTATTGAATATATTTTACATTCAAACATATCGTCAAGGTTACGGAGAAAAACGTGTAGAGATAAACGGTCGTTGCCGTCGACGCGCATCGGCTCGTGCAGTTCATACTCGAAGTGCTACATCCCGGTACAAAACAGTCTCTGTCCTCTGTCTATTAAAATCAGCTGTGAAATAGATAGATTTCTTAATTTCTTAACAAACACTGTTGCTGTTTGTTCAACTGCTAACGTTCTGGGATTCATTTTGAGCCCCGTGATTTAATTTAACATTACTCTTAGCGGAACGCTCTACTTGAATAGTCGTTCACTGCTTCCATAGTCGCTTCCACGCTGCCGTCCACTTAGTTTCAATCGTTGCTGACATGGGCCCGTTCATTGGCAAAAAAACAATGAGAATATAGAAATATGCATAAAATTTGAAATAATTAGAAAAACAAAGTGGCCCTAAATAGCTTCGAGTACTGTATTGTGCTACGCCTCGTCGCAAACGAGAAGCTGAAAAACGGATCACTATTTGTTATATTGAATTAGAATACGGAACGACTAATGGAAGTTATACAAAAAAAATACTTGAAAGAGTCTCCAGGGAAGCGCGTTCTTACCACGGAGGTGTGAGTGGCCAAAGGTGGCGCCAGCAGTGAGTACCTATAAGTAGAAGAAGAGCCATAATTAAAACCTGTTGAATACACGTTCGATCTGTGGTAGCTAATTGTTATAAGTACTTTTGAGTGAAACTGTTAACTGGCAGCACATAGGAAGTAGTTAGAAAAACTGGACCCGGGCAGAGTTTCGAAATAGACACTGGCGGCAATTTAGGACAGAATCTTTAGCAATGGACAACTGCTTGAAACGCACATGTTAGCGACTAGTGGAGAAATTTAATCACTGGCGTAAAGAAAAAGTACGCACAGGCATAATCATGGGCAGGACGCTATACGAACAGTTATTAATTTGGGCAATAGGTTAAAGCTTAAAGGCAATGCATGTCACGTAGTAAGGGTAAAGGCTTGAACAGAGTTAATCAACTAGTAAAAGAAAGGGCAGAGCTGAAGTGAACGTGTGTATGCTCACATACATCTTAAAACTTGAACAGCACGTCACGCTTACTTTTATTCTTTAAAGGGGGTTGGGAAATTCTCTACGTACGATCGGGTTTAGCAGAGCACACCTTTATTTAGCGTGTGTCAATGAGTGTGGGGCTCACCCCCTGGCGGGTGGACTTTCTCCTGCCGAGACCACCATTACCCATTATTTCTCAATTCCTTTCTTATACGTGACTCAAATAGTTTAACTATTTATATGCGTCCGCCATCATTTCATTAACTAAGATGTTTTATAGCTCTTCCATGTGAATTACGGTATGTTCCGAATAAGGCAGATTTCGTTCATTGCTAACTTGACTAATTTGAAGGCGAAAAAAAATGGTCATGCTAAATATTTCCTTTGTTTGGCTCCGATTGTTCCATGTTTTGTTTCTAGAAGCTCGACCCTGAAATGCGAAATTACGCTAACGGTGACCAAAAAATTGTTTTTTGTGAAAGACCTGAGGAAATCATCCCTACCAACACATTAAGGCACACGCCGTTTCGGAATAATTGGCCAAATGTGATTTTTTCGAGCAAAGTAATACGGTTCCATATGTTATCTTGGGTTGGGCTTCGATTAAGTGCTCATAACCGTGTTCGTAACGTGAACCGCTCAATGTTGAACTTGGGGGTGCAATATCGACCTCAAACAAAAATAGTGTATACCACTCAATGATAAGCTTCCCTTATCCAATATTGATGCTGATTATAAAAGTACTGTTGCTTAAAGCGTTCGATGCTGGATGCGGGTGGTAGTACGGTCCCGCCCGGATCCCCTCTGTGTTTGTGGCCTTGACATGCTTTAATTGTTCACCGTCGAACTAACCGCTCCGTAGCTCCGCCTACAGCCGATCCGCCATCATATCGTCACGATATAAACAACCGCAGGAGGGCCACGGTGATGATAAAACAATGACGGGGTCCCCATCACGATGGCTCTTCGCAGTTCGAGTCGACATGGTTCGCCTAGTTTATGTTCGACTAATCGCAAACAAGGTCTTCTGCCGATAAAATAAGCTGTGCTAACCTCCCACCTAAATATAAGTCTCTATTATTCTTCTGCGGGTAAGCTAATTACGAGACAAAACCCACTAGTGCTGATGAACCCATCCAGATTACCAGCTCAGGTACTGTCACTTCTGTTACTTAGAAGAAGATAAGCTACGAATCGTGTCCACAGAAGGTATTGGAAAGGACCATTGAGAAGAAGTGACAACGAAAAATCGATAGAAAAGGTACATAAAGACACAATATCTTAATTAAAACGATCAGTTTTAATCTTCTTGTCCGATTTTCTTGGAATGGTCGCTTGACTAATTATAAAATTGAGGTTAATCACACTAGATGCCATAGTAGCATACTTGATTATTTTCAAAAAAACCTCTGCTAATCTTGTTCGATTTTCACAGCACTATTTTTGTATGGCATTTTATCCTAACTGATGTTGATTGAGTGATTATATCTGATAAAGATCCATGACCCAACTCAAAAAAAGTCAGTTTGGGAGACATAACATACCGCATTGCCCCTAGCAGAGGGATTTTCCGGAGGAACGGAACATTTTGTGGAATTAATGCAAACCCTTATGCAGAGCTTTGTAATATTCAAGACGGCAAAAAATATTCGTCTTGTTTTGTCAGTCTGTATACGGTTTTCCAAGTGAGACCATAGAGGAAACGTCGCCATTTCAACGCATTAAAAATTTTAGCAGTAAACATTGATTCCTAATTCGATTGGATAACACGGATTTATATAAGCTATTTAAGTGAAGCAGTGATAATCAAGAACAACGTTGAAAAAATAGCACAGCACGCGAAAGGTGTCATGAGATAACACTTTATTAGATAGCTAAATATTGACACAAGCTGACAGCATGTGCAGAAACAAACAAAAGAAAAGGGACCGACGTATTTAAACAAGCATCTAACTTTTTTTTTTTGTAAAGTACGCGTTAAAACGTTTCCAATACTTTAAGCAAAGCGTAAAAATTCATATTAGCCCTAAAAGTGTACGTCTTACAAGCAGAGCCTCATGGGACGACCTAAGCGGAATATATTTGTTCTAACCGCTGTATATCATGTACACTAAACATATAAAGAACACTTAACAGTATGAGCAGAGGCACACTACTGTGCTCAATATTAAATTATTATACTTTGGAAGCATCATTACTGTGTGTTTATAATGTAAGTATACGTTGCCAAGGGTATGCTCTTTACTTGTCGCTAGCCGTATCATTCTAAAAGGTTACTTTTCATGTGGCAAGGATAGAATAAATTTCGTAGTTCAACATCTCGACTTCGGGAAACAGTCGACCAAATCGAGAGGCAACACGTAACTCCGTCTCATGGCACCTGCCTCCTGCCTCGCAGCTTAACGGTAGCCTGCATCGTTATTGCCACTGCTGCTGGTGCTGACGCCGTCGTCATCATGAGTCAGAAGCAACGGTAGTTAAGGAAGACGCCAGAAAAAACGTTACTAGCAGTAGAAAAGAACAGAGACGACGAATAATCAACTGTGGATGGGGCAAAAGGGGAAAACGAAGACGAACATAATGGCGATGAGTTAGCCATTGTTGCCGCTACCGCTGTTGCTAGCGGTTGTTGTAGCGATTTCTGTTGATATCGTTTGAGCAAATGCCGCTGTTTGATAGTATGTCGTCTGCAGGCAACTTCGTCCTTTTTTTTTTCGTTTAGCGCTGTTGTGAAGACACTAACCGCTCCTACGCTGTGAAGGCACGCTGTCCTTCGCTCGTATTGTCTTTGTAAACGGTCTGCATCAGATAGTTGCTTCGAAGATTGACACTGCGCCGCTTCAAAATGTAATAGACCTAAAACAGAGTGGTCTTTTTGTCAAAATTTACCAACTCTGCCTATATAATATACTCCACGCTTTCTATAAGTAGACGTCAATAGCCTCTATTTTTTTACTTGATATTAATAACAGTACCAATTTCTAGTTTTTGTAATCGAAATTGTTCCGGAACTTATGTTTTTAGGCAAACTCTCAGCTATTTTTTTTCTATGGTAAACCCTAAGTACGTGTAGAGCTATCTAATAATATTCAGTTGTAGTTATATAATAATATACTTTCCTATGTTACGCAGAGTAGGTGCAATTCATTGGGTATATTTGACCCAATTTTAGGTTTTAGGACAAGCTCCAAATTAGACCTGATTAAATAATATCTTTAGTCCGGCAAAAATGTGTCGTTTTGTATTGCGAAACTACGTTGAAATTACTTAGATGCCGTAGATAGACGCCCAAGATGTATATTCATGAAGAATACAAATTTACAACAGATCAATAGAAGGGGGAAAGTGGGCACCGGACTTCACTGATCGAGTGATAGAGTAAAAATGTTTCTCCTTTTAACTAAAAAATATACTTTCAGATCTTCCTTGGACTATTGTATATCGGCATGAAGCTGAAAGTCCATATGCAATTAAACTACATAATCGTTCCGGGGAAGGACCGCATTCGTCGGCAGATGATGCCATCTTCACCGACATCGTCCAGGGTCTAGAAAGCGAATCTCGTTACGTTATCTGTGCTGCCCTGTCTATTGTAGAAGATAACAACCAGCATTTTGAAATGGATCCCGCGGCGTGCCAGTCTGTCAGCACCAAGGGACCCCGGCAAAGCCACAAAAACACAACTGAACATACACGACAGGTAGGTGTTTAATAATTTTCCGTTTTCAGTTTTTCATTCTAGTTGTACTAAAGACCTTAAATAGGACAGAGTATTCCCTTTTCGCAAAAATTACACGAAGAAGAAAAGACATGGTGATGAAAGCTAGGAACGCCGCGTCTACATTTTTTATGGCTATTTAAAACGTGTAAGTCACAAAGGCATACTGCCTTAGCTCAAAGATCTTCGAGTTAATAAGCCGCCATATAGGAAGTCAGTGTACATGAACCCTCCAATTCTACCACTGGTTGTATTCTACAAGACTTTAGAGAAGAAAGGGCATTTTACCAGCTATGACGCGATTGGTTTTAGTTGCTCTCGAAGGCAAACTAACTAGCGGCCTATACTGCTATATAAGACTTGGAAGACTGGGGATATTGAAGGAAAAACGAAATCAATATAGATGTAATAAAAAAACGCGTATGAATAAACGCCTTATTGTGGCATTTTGATTGATTTTACTGACACCATGCGAGGAAAAATCATGCATGACGCACATTGTCAATGAACCTCACAAGTACACTCTCTTTCTAATTCCAATTTGTTTGCCAAGCTGTTTTCAGTGTTGATAAAACCTTCAGTTAAGAGATTATACAATGAAGTAATCGTTCACTCGTGCACACGATTGTAGGTGTCATCCCTTTTCATGGCACCTGTCGTTGAGAAACGTCGGGTGTCGCAGCGGGTTACCACACAATTACTGGCCATGCGAGGAGGCCAACGGTCTATTTGGGTCCGCTGGAAGCTTAAGGTCACACAGTTAGCTGTCGGAAATACGACCCTCTACAGGACGCGCAGAAATGTATGTATGCATGTACAAGCAATTTAATTAATACAAGCAATTTAATTAATGTAAACATTAAACACTAGAGGACATTTTAGAAGCAAATTAGATTTTACTTTAATTATCGGAGTGCAGCTCAATCAACCGCAGCAGGTGACTAAGCCTCATTTCAGTTTTCTTTGGCCTATACGATAATGTCCTCTATCATGTAGAAGGAAATCCATCAACAAACACATCAAATCTTTGTGCATAAAATAACAATCGTAAGATGGGGAAAGTCATTTCCTGCTTGATTGCGTTTACTAAAGAGACAGTTAAGAACAAACATTTGTTGCAGGCCACTCTTCTGTAGGTGACCTCAGAGAAGAAAGATGGTTGAAACAGCATTATTATATCTTATGTAATTAGTTTCTATGCCTAGTAGATTTTTGTTTTTGGTTTTTTCCGAGTTCAGTTTAGAGTGTTACGACATCAAAAGATCTCTTTGTCTCGATGTTTTTTTTCAAATCGATTGCAACCTTTTAAATAGCTGTGTAGAACACAATTACCATTTTACCCCTCTACTTCTCTCTAGTTTTCCGGATTAGAACGGTATCTTGTTGTTAAACTATTGGAATCTTCTTCACGCTATATTTTAAGCAATTTAATAAGCGATTTTTAAGCGAAAGATTCAGTAACTTCATGAATTTTTCACGTATGCAAAAAAAAACCTCAAGCACGGTGGATTACGTGCAGCGTTAATAATGCCGATATGTTGAAGGACAAAAAAACGTTTTTAAATTTTTCGCGCGTTTAATTTCGTTCATTGCCTACCCCGCGTAGCAAACCGACTATTCAGCTGTTAGAATCTAAACGTCAAAGAGCATTTGTATTAATCATTACTAAACATTATTGGCTAAGATACTGTTTGGATCATATGCATCCCAGATTTGTCGCTGGCCGAATGAATTCGGCCATTTAAGCAACCATTAAAAACTTATAAGCATTTTTGTAGAGTAACAGCACACTGTGCTCCTCTTTGGAAACTCTCTTAAACTGCCTTAAAATTGTCGTCCACTGATAGGATCCGCTTTTATCTTTATATATAATGTTTACATCATTTTAATATATATATATATATTCACAAAGTGGGGCAAACATGTCTTAAATCTTTAGGGATCTTTATATTTGCTACTGTATTAACTAAGATGTAGTAAGCGAAGCCTCTCAAGCTGTCAAGCGACTTTGCCCTCCACTTCGTATGCGTCGAATTTTCAATTTAAAAGTTACCCTACTACTTTTAAGGGCTTTTCGTTAAGGGTAAACGATAGGGGTAAACATTGTGTATATATCTCAGATATCTGACACGCAATTAACTATTAGTATCATATTTAAGAAATACCATTTATCTCCTCATATATAAATCATTCATTATATATTTAACAAAAAGAGGCCCGTGTTCTTGGCCGAGTTACAACAGGGCGGTGACGACGAGTCAACAGCCAGCCGCGAGTGGATCGTCCTCACACGGAAGATCGGCACAGGGAACTTCAGTGAGGTTCGAGTGAGCGACACATCTGGCCACTCTAAAAATGGAAATGTGTATAATTACACCGTATCATCACTGGCACCTGATACGGCATACGATTGCTGCCTTGTTCCTATCGACACGCTTGTGGAGGACACCATGGCGGATCGAACTGTCCCAGGTTCGCATGCGCAGTTACTGACCGAACAGAAGTTATATTGTTCTGTTAAAAAAAAAAAACGTCGCACGATGTCCTTACTATGTGTTTACATAGGTCATATCCAAAAGTAATATTGAATTATTAAGGCATCAGTTACAACAAAACCATTCAACTACCTACCTGCAGGTTGTTCGATTGTGTGTTCCTTAGGGGGTTTACGCGATATTCCAGTTCACCTGCAACTGTCAGTCGAGCAAACGCTAATGATGTGCAAGGAAATCGTCACGTTAGCCGACAACGTTAAACGACTTACGTCAGCCTCCGCCGCTGGCCTAGACGGACGTGCTCTAATTGTCGTAGTAGCCGCATCTGCATTCGTTACTGTCGTTGTTGTGGCTGCACTTTGTTTCTGTTGCTGTCCTGCTTCGAGGTAAAAATGATACCAAACAACATACAAGGTCAACGATCATTAAAAACAATGTAAATTACTAATCCTAATGTTATTACGCAGAATATGCTTAAAATAGAGGTAATACACGGTATATATATATATATCGAAATAAATATGCTTTCACATTTACAAAGTACTAGGAATATATCTTATTGTAACGCCAATGCCTTTGCAGGAACATCTTAAGGTGTTTCTCTGATGGTATCTCACAGGCTCCTTGCAAGTCAGCCTCCACTGATAAAGCATTTTCAGTAACTTCCGCCGAACAATTTGAAGGAAAGGACATAAGTGGCGGCACGTCAGGCGCCAATCGCAACAATAATAGGCTTCGAATGAACAATTCGTTTAATTCCACAAAGAACCTGGTGAATTTTATGGACGATGAACCTTCACAACTTAATAATACCTCAAACTTCATTAGCAATTCTAATGGCGGTAATACTAATAGTGCCCCTCAGCGACATGTGAATAGCGCAGCGTTAGTGACTGGCAGTGGGGCCATTGTTCCTTCAATCGATAACACCGTTCGACGTATTCCAATGAAACCACCCAATATACCGCTGCCACCTATACCAACTGAGGTAACACCAAGCTTCATAGATGTGGGTGGTATGTCATATAAGATGTGTCTACCTCCGGTACCACCTTCTCTGAGCTCAAAGTGTAAAAGTGAGACCTTTGACAATAAAATTGCCACTCTTGACGCAGGAAGGTAAGAACTCGCGAGCATTGAATCTTGAACATTACCTTTTTTTTTTTAGCGACCAATATAATTGACATACTTTGAACTAATTGTCACAATGCTGTTGAATTTGCTTATTGTATTTTGAAAACCAAAGTCACGTATGAGGTTTCGCAAAAAAAAAGTTTCAAGGGACATATTATTAAGTTCCCTGTAGAGAAATGCAGCAGGACAAAACGAACAGAATTTGTCTTGTTTGGCATCGCAGATTGACGTTGATGTACTCAGAATGGGAGGACATGCCGGTACATTCACAAGCGACGCAGCGGCCACGACGCTCTCGATCAGAGGTGCGAGCACCAGCTGCGCGTCCTTTTGCAAGTCTCGGCAATGTTTACGCTGCATCACATGAGGATCCCTTGCGACAAATGCGCTCTTTAGGTGGTAATCGCCCACAAATGATAGACAGTGACGGCGGAAGCTACAATGACACCTCTAGCGATGATGACAAAAAAATCCTTAACGCACAACCCCGAAAGGTATAAAGAACATGAAACTTTGAACATTTTAGGATACAACGTTGCAGCTACAGTATATATATATATGTATATATATATATATCATGCATACGGTAAGCGCCTTATATATTACGTTAAGCTTTTTTGAGGCTCTTTAGTTAATAGAACATGCGACTTTTTTTTGCCTCAACGAAGACTGTGTCAAAGTAACACTAAGACTGTACTAAGCTTAGCCAAAATTTTTTTGATAAAAAGAAGAAACTCCTTTAAAAATTAAATTTGATTTTTCTCGAAGTATGGCTCGCTCGAAATATGTTTTCGCAAGATACTGAAACATAAACTCCATTGAGCAAGACGTTTTATTGCAGATTCAACGTCATAAAACAACAATAAATTGGGCCAATGGTATGCCTTTTACTGAGGATGTGGATGGAAGCGGAGCTGTCGCCTACCTTGACGGCCGTAAGGTCCAAGTGTTCGGTTTGGGTGTTTCGAAAACGTTGCCTAAGTCCATATTGCGCAAAGGAGCGCGTCCACTTGCTCCTCATATTCAAACTCCAGGTCCGACAAGTGGACCCCGAGTAGCTGGAAGAAGTGCCGCTAGAACGCAGAGTCATCATTCAAGGTTTGCTTCTTCTTGCAAAACGTTGAACCTTCCTTGGGACGTGCTGATCAGCTGAGCAAACCATAGTTTTTTTAATCTATTTTTGAAATTTCTTTTCCATTAAATATCCCCGCCAAATTTATCAGGAGCATCAATATTTATGATTACCATAGTTATTTGTTATCACACAAGAGTTAATCTTGTTCACGTTCGGCTATGCGAAGTTTGTCACTTTATAATAAAAAGATTACACGTGCCATGATTCATCAACTTGACACTTCTTTGAAAAAACGTCATGTCACCATAGCTCACACTTTAACTGGGTACAGCACTTTCATGTAATTCCTTTATAGGTCCTTCAAAAAATTGGCTCGCTCCCCACCGATCGTTCGGAGATCATCGCAGGCTCAAAATCATCGACTTCACTTTTGTACTTTCGGGAAGGTGACGAATGCGCCTTGTACTGTTCGGGCAACCTGTAGTGCGTGTGCCGCTGAGTCACAATCGGTAACCTCAAACAGTGATAATTGTTCCTCTATGAAGCACCTTTGCGCCCACTCGTCAACGACATCGTCAGATTGCGACGTCTTCATTGAACACGTGTAATATAGAGTGTTATACAGCCATCACTTCTAATAATAGTTCCGGAGTAAACTTTCCCAACTTGACTGTAACAACGTCAGAGAGTTTTGATATGAAGTTCTTAAAAATTGCCCAACATTAATACCTATATCTTTTCCTCACATAAGAGAGATGTTGAGTTTAGTGTCCATTCGGTCGTATTCATATAGCTAAACGTATACGCCACTAAACTGGGGTTTGTTTTGCGCAAACCAACAGCATCCAACTTCCCGGCCCAGAAGTGTACTATTCCAGGGGTGATGACGGCGCGAAACTGCAAAGTGCCGTAAGAAACTATTTAGCCAAAGAAAGTAGAGCGCCGTGCCCGACTGTGTATTGGTGTATGACGTGCAGTATGCAAGCAAGGTCGGGACGCGCTTTTGGCTAGCATATGTGTACGGTATCCTTCTAAACGCTGTCGTTTCAAAGTTACACTTGGAGGAACACGAACCGTTCTTCCAGAGACGACCCTTAATCAAACCTTTTAAATAGATTATTTATGTTAGGTTTTCGTATAACTATCGATTATTGATATTGATGAATGAAAATGAAGTCTGTTCGCTGATACAGCTTACGTAATGGGGCTTAACAAGGTTATGAACGCGGCCATCGAAGATCATATTTTAACTGCTACCCTAAGCAACTAAGGAGATGGACATCGTCTACTTGCCAGGCAAAACAGGCTGGATGTTTATACGACCCATCGAATCGCCCCATCGAACTATAACTTTGCTGGTAGAACGCTTGCAATGCATAAACGGTTTAGACCGCAAAATCATAGTGAACTATTTGCTTCATGAGCATTAGTGTCGGTTCACACCTCTCCGCTAGATGTGGACTTCGAGCTGAGGTGTATGGATTTGAATAACTATCAGTTTCACAAATGCACAAAAATAATTTTTGTTTGTCATTTCGAACAACTGTTATCAGAATAACTAAAAACGTTTTGTTTTGTATAGAGCCCGATACATATAATTAACGTGTCAAAGATGAGATTCTTTGATAGCATTAACTGGAAGGATGACAGTGTTCTTATTTTTCTCGAATAAGGATATTTTTTTAGAAAAAAAAAACGCCCCACGTGACAGGTGCTATATTTGGCCGTTTTGGTCATTCAGTAACTACTGCACAAGTTACACACGAACGTAGAATGAAAATCAGAGACATCTGCAAACATGACGACGATACTGAGAATGTAAGTAAACGATTATGATGCTAATAATAGTCTGACAAACGATTACCTGAAACAATCTAACTTAATTTAACTATAGAGACAGTGAATTTGAATATTTTGTTTAGAAACGTTTCTTTTTTTTTGCTACTGAACCTATGGCAACATCAGCAATAGAACCACTATAATAATGATAATAACAGCCTGATTCGTGGTGCCGTACGTGTTGTTGTTGTTGTTGTTGTTCTGAAGAGAAAAAGTCTAGGAGCTAGGAGCCGATTCGGTTGTTTCTATGATAGATCTGCGCGATACCCTGTCAAATTCCTATATATTTGCAATTAATCATAAAGTTTGTTGTATCTCGTGCGAGCATGCATGCATGCATGCATGCATACATACATTTTAGCTATAGAAAAAAAAAACCTAGTATTCGTTGGCACGGTACTTTTTTTCTATTCGAATACTGTATCGGTAAAGGCTCGACTGATAGATAATTTATCGTAAGCAGGCAAAGAACCAAAGTGAATGATCGAGGAATGACGACAATGTACATAAATGAGAGAGTTAAGAATAGTTCGATACGTTTTTTACGGCTGTTAAATGCTATTTTGATGTATGCTGATTCACGCAAGTGAGTCGTAGCGCCACAGGCCTTAAGCATGCTTGGGCGAGAAGTTTACCAAACGGTGGTAAGAGAACGTTGACAAAGTAAAAATTATTACGTCAAGTACGAAGGCACGCTTCAGAGCGAATGAGCAGTGTTTATTGTATATAATGGCTAATTATCAAGTGTGTATCATTTATGTACCATATAGGTAGCAGCGTAACTACGTTGTGTAAATAAAGACAAAGTGAATTATACTATTACGATAGTTCGGTGCCTCTTAAGTTCGATAGGAATTTGAATGAAGGAGGAAAGGTTATTATCTGCACATAGGTGGCGTTATTTGAAATAAGATTGGCGGGCTAAGACGTGGAGGCTATTTAGGTGCAGATAAGTGACACTTATCTATTATTTAACGTATAATGGGTTGATGATCTAATTATTCTAACTAGTTAGTTGAATCTGAGCCCTGGCTTAACGACTACTCGCATGGGACACACGGTGCAATAACTTTCGGGTGTCTAATATTGATAACCCAAAACTCACTTAAATCGGGCAAATTATGGGAGAGGGAAGATTTAAAAAGAAAATTGTTACGGAAGATGGCAGACTAGCGATTTCGCTATTTTTGTATACAGTTTTACTGCTTTAGGCATTCTCTCTACGTCTGAGTTTTCATCGAAGTTTAAGCATAAAAACGTGACGGGCAAGATTCGTTCAGAACATGTACTTAGAATTAAGTACATGTTAGAATTAACTTAGCCCATGTCTTCTTAATTTAATTAACACCTATGAATTATGTAATAATTGTAATTGTCAAAACATCATTTGATTGAATCAGGAGAAGTGTTCAGTTGCTGATAATAAAATAAAGAAAGAAAATGAAGACCAAAGTCCTTTTCTGAACAAGCAGACATGTTAACTAGCTGAGAAAAAAACAAGCTCAGTTTTGGAAGTTTTCTTACGCGAATCATATGAAAGGTCTAAGAAATTGAAGTTCTGCACGGTTTTCTATTTTATTCGTATACCAAAAAGTATTAGCGACAGATACGATCCTCAGACAGTATTTGTATCCCTGTACGCTCATGAATCTATATCATAGTTCGAAGCAGTTTGAGCATCTACGTGAGTTAAAACAAGGACTACACTTGAAAATGAACTTTGGACGAAAGAAACACTGACGATGTACTATACAGCGTGTTATGGTGAAACACATCTTTAACTCTCCATATTGAAAAAAAGATGGAATGTAATAAATCAGTTGAGCAGTCTTAGGGAATGTAAACGCAACTTCTGGCATAAAAGTTAAAACAGTTGGAATCATTCAGGACTGTTAACTTAATAACTAGGTGAACATCTTTGGCGGAACGGTTTGAAGCGCTGTCCCAAGTAAATAGCGTGTTCGAACACCGTCGTTACCACCGTTTCAGACATTACTTAACGATATACGTAGAATTTATGCATCAGCATCAACTGGATGCACCTCAGTAAACAATGCACTATATAATAAGGCCGAACATTCGCCTAAATGAATCTTACATTCGGGCCTCGGTCGATAGATGAGAACATAGACTTCTCTGCTGGCAGACAGGGTAAAATTTCCTTCTGAGAAGTGTTGTATCTTGAACGTGATGTCTGAGGCCACATCTAGGTAGTTCAAGTCATTCGCGCGCATATATACTACTGAAAAATGCATTATTTATAATTATTCTTGAGAGGCAAATTTAGTGCTAAAAAAATTCTACAGTGGCTCGTGCATATAATAAATAGCTGACTCTTTTATGAGCGCCTAGACAACGGTCTGCAGGCTGAAAGAGAAAAAAACCGCAAAATTAAATCCAGTATATAGATATAAAGACAAAATGGCAGGTAACAAAAAAAAAAAGAACATACACAATTTGTTGAATGAGAAGGACAGATATTACACACATCGTATTCTAATACGAAGAAATCAAAATATGAAATGAGAACTTGACGAGTTAAGTTTGCCGACCGTACCAAAGTGGAATAAATGCTCTGGGATTGGAAGGCATATGAAGATTTACCGAATGTTAGCAAATCTTCAACAGATATTTAACTTACTGAAAATTTATACTACTTGTAATCATTGTAAGAAATTAGAGCATCATCCGACGTGGTAACGAAACGAAAAATTTAGCGTATTCTGATAGAGGCGTGGAGAATTCTCACAATAGCTAAATAGTTAACCAAAATAGCATAGAACATTTTATGGTAATCGATATACTCCAGATTTAACTGGACGAAATTTGTATTATAATAATCATCAAAATTACTACGATACAAATAATACGACAACCGGACAAATGAAATGTCCGCGTTAGGTAAATAATGCACTTACATCTAGATATATGTGACAATTGTACGAATATCTTTTTATGGGCTTCAGGTACGGTAAGCCTGTATACCCAATTTGTAGGACAAACGCTATCGACATAGTGGTGCAATTACATAAATGAATAAGGACATGGCGGTAATTTCTGGTTGTTACGTTGTACATGTTTCTTAAGAATGTTTGAGTAATACATACTTTTACGTATGACCGGACATCACCAATTTGAAGCATATTCAATGCGAGCCCAGTGTCGAGTTCGGAACTTATGGCTGGACTTCATTTCGCCGTAACCTCTATCCGCTACTTCCCGATCCCACTCTTGAACTTTCATACTCCTCATTACCTGAACCAAAAGTAAGTTGTACGATGTATGCACTAGCAAAGAGGTCAACGATGTCTCACACAGTATTCCGGCTTCTCCTAACTATCTTCAACTTCACTGTTCTGGGGGGCGACTTTGAACCGTCATTGTAACATCTGCTTTACAAAGTAATGCAATTTGATACAATTCCACGAGCAATAGCCAACGGGCATGATGTCAAATGTTCAAAACATCAATTTTAAGTTCCAGCCTTCTAGATATAAAAGTGTAGAATTGAGAACTTGTGCTCCCTTCCCTTCCGAATAATGCTTCGCACGCCTACACACACAGATACGCTTATACATCTTAATCGCAATGAGCTCCTGTTCTTTTGTTTACATCTGTAATACGGAAATGGGTGGCTAGCTCCAAAATTGTAATGACTAGACAAGTGTGTAGCGTTTGAATGGGTAGAAAGAAAGATTGATTACAGAAGAGTCAGTAGGTACTTGGTATGTCATCGCGACGTCCTATAGGATGCATATTTAGCTGCAGAGGGCTTCGCTATAGGTACACTTATGTTTTGTGTTCGGCGGCTAGCGTGCAGCGCCAGCCGTGTACAGCGGGCACTTACAAAATGAAAGATGGAGCATGAGAAATTGCGACTAGTAACGGGGCCGGTATATGCATTTTTTGCTTACCTGACAAACACGATCCTGCCACTGACATAATCTGATCGCGGTATTACAAGCGTTCTTACGCAAGTGACCATGTAGGGCTACTAGATAACATTGGGACGATGATAGCGGAACTGACAAACGGTGATTTTAGAAAAGTTGCAGGAACAAAAATATAGCTTACAATTACTCCATCAATCAATATATGAAATAACTCGCTTTGCTAATGAACTAGTGTTGCCAAGTATAATATAAACGTAATGATAAGTACAATCGCCCGAACAGAAGCAAACGATTATCGAGCGGCTGATTAGACGGTATCAAACACCGGTGTGCCGAAGAACGGCCAATGTGAAGCTAATGAAAACGAGAAAGTCAAAGAGGCAAGCAAGAAGAAACACTTCGTCGACATAGGCTGTACACGGTGGGTACAAACAACAATACACGCAGGGTGGCCAACGCTCACTTAATATTAGCGACAGAAACGAGCTGCCGGAAGAAACTATGTTCAACCCATAATATTTTTAGAAAACATCACTACCAAACGGTCAGCTTTGTGATCTATCGAGAAAAAACAACTGCAGGCGTTCTGACATGGGACAAAACGAGCAACGTAGGGTCAAGCAGATATTTGGCGTTATTGTTCTAGTTTGCAAGCTTCATACGATCACCCCAATAAGCGCCAAACTATTGCTGCAGAGGCACACCTATCAGTTGAATGCAAAATCATATTGGATACTAATAAACTAGGTTCTCAGTGCATGTCTCCGCTAGAGGCTAAGCCTAACGCCTATCGTTGAATAGACTATGAAAGCTTGGAAACTCTACATTACTTTCGTTGTTGATCGACAAAGATCAGGCTTCCACATAAGCATGCTGAGATTACTACAAGGTGCATTGACCATAACTTGAATAAGTTATTTTTTTATGAGAACAATGCATGTGTTTCGCTTAGCAAAACCAGAGAGGAATCGCTACGCTAACGTGGGACTTTACCTATCATTTTCCAACTATAGCAGTACTCATTGAAATCACACTTTTCGTCGTCACTGATCCTGCATCGATACTTATTTTAATACTATGTATACAGTGACTAGTATGATGATAAATCATACCGTCAACGGGCATCTAGAACGAACTGGTAGAACGACTACATCATTACTTCTAGTATTCAATTTTCTTTGTTGATCTTATTACATTTTCATGGGCCAGAGACCTTAATATCTGAGTAGTTCCTCGAGTAATCGCTGACTTCGTGACGCTAAAATCCACAGGACTGATAAGGCCACTTTTAATATAGAAAATAAATGTAAACTGTTGAATCTCGCTTCTTGCAAATGTATTCAGATGTCGAGCTGTTTGATGGCGTCGCATTCGGTTAGTTGGAACTTTATGGCCTATCAAAAAGCTGATCTTTGGAAATGCCAGTAGAAAATGTTTTGATAAAGCCCGCAAACGTCGTCACGTATTCAGGGCCGTTTTTCGATTAGTGTGGTCAATAAAAAGTGATAAGTTATCTAACTGTAAGCGTTGGAACTCATACAGGCGTCGAAATGATACGTGAGCACTTCAGCGGGACACAGTACAAGCGTCGCGACGAAGCGCAGGCGTCAATCACAACATTATTATGACGATCGTAAACTAAGATTTCAAGCAGCATTTAGGATCTAATCTCTTAAATTATGTAAAAGTGTTGCTCACACTTTTGATCTAAGCTCTATTTTTCAGGCGGCAATTTATTTTAACGAAATAGTCAATATTCGCTTAGTGGGTGACCGATTAAGACACATAACAGTAACGTCCCTGTATTTTGTAGCCGCATTAAATCGATTTAAGCTATTTTCAGGTTTTTAGGGCTAGCTGTCAAATTTATGTATCGATAGGTAAGTGGTCGTGAGGAATTGATGCATAAATAATGTAGAGTTTGCGAAAAAAACGGCAAGGTTAGGTAATACTTAGGTAATAACTGCAGCCGATTAAATTTTACTGTAACACTGTTAATATTTTCAATTTTTCCTTATTTTTGACTTTCTAGAGCACACATGCTTATATCTTTGACAGTTGCCAATTAAATCTATAGAATTGGTCTGGCTAGTCAATAGAATGTGAAATGGAATGGAACAAATTTTTGCATAGAGAGTTAGAAATCTGCTAAACATAAACGATATTTCGTTACGTTAGTTGTAGCTTCCTTCACTGTTTACCAAACGAATTTAAAGATTGAGATTTTTCTAAACTGCTATGTATATGTGGTTAGCATGACCAGCTAGTCTCGCTATGGGTAGCCTATTTGAACTGCTTATTACCTACTCTGAGCCAAGAGGCAGTCGATATCGTGATTCTGGAATATATGGGTGCTGGAGCATTCGCTCAGTTCTCCATAGATTTCTCCAGTTATTTCCATAAGTTGGCGACGAGATTGCAGAAAACCACCCTGAACCGCATATTTATGGAGCTTTTTCGAAGTGTTAAATGTACGGCAGCATTGGCCGTTTCCTTCTAAATAAAGATCTTGCTAACTATTGCGAGTTATGTTATGCCCTAATCTATTTACCTCTCTTCTTGTTGTTCGGTGCCATTTTCTCACTTCTATAATGGACCATGCAGGCTAACCCATGTTTCATCGATAGCTACGATCCGCTAGATGTCGCTTTCTGCTGGCAACAGTTGCGCAAAGTACGCGTGTTTTCATTCGTCCTGGATTCAGGTTGTGAGGAACCAAGTTTTACGTTTTTGCTAACCTTGAGTGTTTTCGTTACGATTTTCGAAGAAATTTCACATTAAGTTTACACGGAGCGCACTGACCATGCTCTCTTTCGCTCAAAAACTTATCAGGTGATGGCGATTCGTTTTTGTGCTTAGGATCATGCAGGATAGTCACCGTCTCCGTGGCCTTCAACATTCTTATTTTCGTTATTAAAATCACTTTAATAATGATATTAAAATTACTTTAATAACTGTTGGTTTTTCTGAAGCTTTTTCTGTCCAGAAATTTCGCTAGTGTTCGATAGGTTCCAGCAACGCTCTCATCTTTAAGAGATAGAAATTTAATCATTGAGCTTCAATGATATCTTTTCTTTTCACTTATTTAGCGACGACAGTCGTAGACATCCAGAAACTTTCAGCAAATTTCATCGTGTTTTAAAGGTTTTTTGACCTGTTAAGTTTAATGTACATGTTACATTAATTTTAGAACTACGTAACATTACGTAATTTTTGGACAAGCTTGTAATACAAGAAGCTCTCTAATAGTGGGAAAATGCCACTGCAATTATTTGGTACTTAGACAAATAGAACGTCTGCAATATTTTGCATATCAGATATGCGGCGGTTGGACTAAAGCAGAAACGCCTTTACCTGAATAAATGTCTCATAGTAATGCTGGGTGCTGAAAATAGCCTGCGCGGGTCGTTGTTCTCTGTCGTTGGGCTGATACCCGATGAAGGGCTCAATTGTTTTGAAGTGTGCCTGTCTAGTTGTTTTCAAGCATATGTTCAGAGGACAATTAAAGTTGGAAACAATCGTTTTAAGAATTAAATTTGTGTAATGACGTATAAAAAAAGAAAGCAATGCACTTTAAAGGACCAGGACTGGAGCAATCACAATGTACTTCTACCGGAAACAAGTACGCGACGTTAATCTTATTTCTATTTGCTAGCAGGTCAAATAATTTATACTTCTATTATATAAGGGGCATAGTATTTACGATTTGTACAGTTCGAAAGTTTATTTGGTCTTCATTTTCTGAAATATTGTTCTAAAGATGAACATTCTATACCTACATCTACCATAGTGAACCTTTTTGTGCAATACATCAAGGAACTCTAAATATTGTCTTACAATTAAAGTATCATACTTCATCTGAGATTGCCTTTTAAACTAAGTATATTGATAAATGTTTATTTTTGTGCATAACAAATAAAGTAAGTACAACATTTTTTTACGATATTTATGGATATAGTCAAATGGCTACACTCTAGGGTGTTTTTTGCTCAGACGGCTCGGCGCTTCGTTAGTCTAAGTAGAAAATCGCCAACAATCAATTTCAAGTGAAGTTAATAAAAACCACAGCTACTTCGTAAATTGTATGACACAAAAATGAAGCCGATTTGAAAGGTGGCCGACAAATGCAGGCCAAGTACATGCCAGAGCCTAATTCGAAGAGCGTCCATGCTACGATGATGATTAACATGAGTTTCTTCATTGCTACATGTAGTCCTTGTAGAAGTGATGACGTTGACCACTACGACGAGCTAATAAAACTCTCTTAGCTGCCTCAAACGAGGACCAAACATTCAGCGTAGAGGATACAAATTACTACACCAGATTTTAATATAATCATGCCATTTTTCCATCAGCGCAAGATTTGATACACTAAATGGTTGTAAATCGTCCAGAAGAACCGCAATTGTCATATTAGAAACTTGTTGATCACCAGCCTAATCGTAACGCGCTACCTCCAGAAGAGATTTAACAGTGAGAATAAGCGTACCTAACTTCTTGTCATAAGTACGTGGAGCATAAGGAAATACATTACATAATGAATTGTTTTGCGAACAAGCAAAGAACGAGGCACCCGGCCATCATCAAGAACCGTCATCAGAAATCATCTGAACTCAAAGTAGACCGTCGATACCAGCAGAAACACGCAGATAGTGTTACTCGGATTGTCATAAGTGTAACGTATGCTGCTATAAAATTGTACGACTCTATAGCAATATCATATAGTGATGCTGAAAAATTCAATAACTTCCCGTCGTTTGATGAGTAGATATTAAAAAAAAAATAGGTATATAAGAATATTCTTATCTTTATAGCAAATATTTACTTTATACAAATTGAGTACGACTGTAGCGTGAATTGTACCAAATTCAGCCGCAAACCGATAATTTCAAAAACTTTTCATTTAAAATATATTACCGTATACGAAAATTGTGGTTGAATGGTGAATATATCGAACAGAGGAAGGCAACTGTGCTCGCGTGAATGTGGCATTACTAATACGTTTAACAGTGGGCCGAATAATAAATCTGCGATTGTGTATGTGTGAGCAAAAGGACCGTTTCGTTGAAGGCTTCAAACACCGAAAGCTTCAGAAATGAAATCATGGAAAAGGGAACAATGAAGCGGCAGTCACGCGAAAAAAATCTACTGTACGTCGAAGGACTTACCATGACCTATAATAAGCCTCTTCTTGTATATGTATATATATATTGCCTGGAATAGAGGCTATATTCAAGCAGTGCCTACGATAAAAACAGAAAGAACAAACATTCCCTGAAGGGTTGATTTTAATTCAATATTACCGTATTCAAGCCCAAAAGTTTACAGGACCATTGCCGCATTAAAACTTCATGTGTGGTTCAAACTAAGCCCAAAAGGGTTTGAAGAGTTTATGATACAAATAAAATTTGTAAGAATCAGGTCAAACGCACCGCCGTTGAGGCACTGTTCCAAGTAGTATTACGAAGTATTTACATCCTGGTGCACTCTCATCCCAGGTGACAGATGCTCCCTTGTAATTGATCTCTAAAAAATGCCATAAATATGTTCAACCTTCTCGCTGCGATTGTGCACGGGAACAAAACAGCCATCAACGATGGAGTGGCCGAACCCCCGCCTTTTACACGGGCAACCGGCCTGGCTTAGGGTGACAATTAAGCTCAAATTTATCTTCCATATTGCTGAAAGGATTCCTGATCAAATAAAAAGGCCGAATAAATTAGGTGAAGTTAACTTGTACAATCAACAGGGTTCTAGTGCAGCGAGCGACAAGCGACAATCACAGACTTGGGACTGGCCATAAACGTGACCAAAAGGGGGGCAGAGCTTAGAAAAAGTGACAGCACAGTTGCCACTGGCACCTCGTACCTCGCCAGCTTGCCTCTTGCCTACATGAACCAATTTCTGCATTTGGGATTGCTCTTCCGCGCCAACGGCAGAAGTTTCACTGCCCTCGTCACCGAAAGATGCAGAAAGGCAGTGTTGGCCATATAGACAATCAAATCTCTTTTTCGGTTGTACCCTGCAGTCGCCCTCAGCTTACTCAACTTCAAGATAACTTCGATCGCGACGTGTGCGATACGCGTCATCTGGGAACATCTTATGGTGGAAAACATTAAAAAACTAGACACTGTCAAGGCCTTTTTCGTCAAAGGATTACTACGACTAGACGTAGTGATTCGAAACCACCTCGCGTATTTCCTAGTCGGCTTGCCACTGCTGTGCGGAGATCTACGTCATTGCTCTCAGCAACTGAGGCGTTCAAGACAAACCTTAGGAACTGGCAGAAAAATTCGCGGGTATTGGTGGGATTTTTTTTCTTTTCGGAAAGACGAGTGAAAAAAAACGACTAAATACAGCTAAAGAAGCACCACCGCATGACAATCCGCGTGGATTCCACCATAGATTCAGCAGGAAACCCTGTTGTCACGAGTCTACTCCATATGCAGGGTATTTATGATAGATATCATATCACCAGTTGCTCTTTGGTATGATGTTAAGAGCATCTGGCAAATCTATATTTTCCTTCTAATATTTAGATATTGTGTTGGTGCCCTGCATTTTAGAGCTTTTTGATTACTATTAGCGAAGGTGAATAAATAAAGTTCAATTGAAATTAAGCTTATCTCCTTCTTTTAGATAAATGGGAGCCTAACTTAAGTCATTTAAGCTACTGAAAACTTTTTTTTTGACAATGCATGCCAACAAAGAGCCTCTGTTACAAAAAAAATATTCGTTGAACAGAACTCTCTTTGCAATCAGTCCCTATATAAATATTTATGGATAGGCTAATGGAGTAATATACAAAATGTGACTATGCATTTTACAGTCGTCATGTTATCTAACATTTTATGTTAGGGAACCGACTAGTACTGCTCATCGAGGACCTGAGATGTCGTTTTGACCCCTTGGCGACCAAGTGTCCTAGCAAGTGGGAGCAGATGTTTGTCGAAATAAACGGTTAATTTTACTGCACGCGAGCGGCTATAATAAATAATGGCTGGAAAAAACGAAGCGGACAAATCGTTGCGTCGAGTTCGCGATCCACGAGGGATACATTTTTAATAGATGCGGAGTAGCTATGATTAATACCATGTAGATTGCCGGCCGAATGACTCAAATGCTACCCAGGCTGAGCTGTCTAATCCTATAAATGTTTCCACTGTAAAAGAAGCTTCCACTTGAGGATATGATCATTCATTTTGGGATATATGCACAACGTATTTTGAACATGTAGCATAAACGAATATCGCAAATGTGCTACTTGTCGGCCCGATGGACCGGATTCTCGGTCGCACATCGCCAAAACCGAATGACCTCTCAGAACGGGTTGCTCACAGCCAGGATGTGAAAAAATGACTTGTTTCGCAATAATCCTTCAAATTCCCGCCAATTGAATTCGATATATTATAGAGCGCGCCGTTTAATACTGCCAAGAATGAAAAACCTTAAAGGTTGGGACGCTAATGTCCTTTTAGGTAAACTGTAAACGCAACATTTAGATAGGTATTACGTTAGTTATCTTCGGAAGATGCCAAGGAGTTCTTACCTAGCGTAACATACAAAGTCATATTCGTAGCTGGAAAGGGATATCTCGTTTCTGTGTCCATCAATTGGAAATTTTATGTGTGTCCTAAAAAAAGTGATGATCAAGGAACTTTGTATTTACTGACAAATTACGAAGGCATCTTTTATACTGGTAATTTTTTTTGACTTGTATGTGCTTCGAGGATTGATTTTAGTCTTCAAAAAGCCACGAAGTGTACGCATCTCTAAAATCATCTCCGATCTTAGCCTCTTCACAGCGTAATGACACCCTACGCTTGGATACAGTCATTTAGAAGTCAGAAGCGTTGTAACCACAGTTTGCTTTATACAGGAAATGATACTATTATTATGGTGAAATGTTTTTTATGGACTTATTTATTACGACTATATTCCAACGATTTTTAAATGTTTAAAAAAATTATCAGATCGTAGAGGAAGTAAATTATAATTACCAACGGCGCCAAATATTGTCAGGTGTATGTTTATTATTAATATTAGTAGAATCTCAATCAGATAATTGCTATTGGGGCATTAGTTACCGGTACTGTAAGTTGGTTTGGCTTACATGTTTACTTTGTCCCAACATTACTATATTCTAATACATAGACTGTGCTCTTTACAAGACGCTAGGAAGAAAGATCGCTGCCTTTTGCGTTCAGTTTCTGGTACTAGGAGGCCAAAAACGTGTGAATGATATATTTTTAAGCGCCTCTGGATTAAGTATAATTAAAGACGCACTCTCTGAAACTCGGCTCGCCGTTATATGTGGGATGAAATTTGCAAGCTTCTTAGATTGACAAAGACTATGTGTAGACCTACAATTTCTTCTGCTTTCATGAATTGCTTTATCTAGAACGGGTTTCATGGGTCTTCTAAAAAATTCACGCAGATCATCCTTATCTGCAATTCCGTGTAGTCCAGTAACTGTTGAAGATTGACATCTCTGTGCATCTTCGTGAAGACTGGGACTCACGTAGCTTACATCGTCCATATAGAGAACTCTCCCACTACAGCCCTCGCCTACCTGAGCTGTATTTTGGGATCGTTTTATTTGCTCTTTTGAGTAGATAACTTCAATGCGAACTCTCCCGGATGACATTTGTGGTATCTGCTGAAGGTCTTCATATAAGACAATGCAGTCATTTTTCGTATCACTATCATCCATGCGAGAGGTCCTCAGGATGTCTGAAACGACCCCCTTTTCATGGTACGACATGCCATGTGGGCGCGTGTCGTTTCTTTTTGGGTCCTTTTTAATCACTTTTGCTATGAAACTTGACTGACTGTAGAGATTTTTCATTTGCTTACAATGACACTCCTTCAGTTTATGAGCTTCATCCCAACGTCGTGTGTCGAATACCTCTTTGGAACAACAACGACCGCCATTTCCTAATGGTTTAATGCTTTCTCCTAATGTGCTTTGAAGGCCCTTCCCCTGAATTCCGTCCTTATGGGGCCTACTAGTGCAGCCAGCATTCCGACTACATAACACTTTCGTCTTCTGACATTCAACGCATTTCCGACCCTCCTGAAGAATATTTCAACAAAAAGTTCCACAATGTACGCCTTTATTATATACACAATAGCAGAAGAGGCTCTATAATTATAAACGGCTATTCTAAGTACAAAAGTAATACCTTTTTGCTGTGCCTTTTTGAACAATCTTCTGCTGGCGTTTGTTTCTCACGTGGTTTAGTTGTTTTACTGAAATAGGATAGAAGGTTACAGGTAAATGGCTTTTAAGATTTAGCGACCAATCTACGCAACACTATGCAGTTTTTAACAGCAAGCCTGAATCCACTCGACTTCGACCGCGATAATGCGAAAGGTAAGGCCTCACAATTGTCTATGTACACTATTATTTGAAACTTAGTGTTTGACTGTACTGTTTCTTTCCCGGAGCGTATCCAGTGAGGTCACGTTTTACATTTGCTAAATTTCATGAAATAAAATGGATGATTTTTCACACAGGTATTGTTCCATATCTGAGTTTTCCAAATGGTTCTAGCATGAACATGGTCGCCTCGCAAGATTTATAAACAGATGGACACTGACCGGCCGACGCTGTCGTGCTGAGCTCGGCCCATGGCACGTGCTTTAGTCCATCTTTGACGCGTTTCAAGATCCTTAAGCTGTCGGCTTATATCATAGTTCCAACGTGGTTGGATATTCAATTCTTGGCGCGCTTCAACGTTGTTCCGGTGATAGTTTAGAATACGACGTTTCGTTTCTACCACCATTCCTTAAGGTGATGAAAAAATGTTGCCCCACAAAGATATGATGCTTCTATTGCAAAGTTGCAAGCGATTTTCTACTTCGTTTTTGGTATTTCAATTATTCGTACATTTTCAGTAAAATTCTCTATTGCACTCGGAATTGTACGTTGCTAAACAGTTACACTGGTACAGACAACACGCGTTACCTGCGTCACAGGTGATTTCCCTATAATTATGACGACCGTGATGGTCGATGTTTGATATCTGCAGCAATACAGACAGACTTGAGTAGCGGAAAATCGAGAGGGATACTTTGGCTTCCCCCGGGTCATCCCAATGCTTAATTAAGATTAAGACTAGCACTAGGTATGCAGAAAAATCATCCTGCTTTGGTGAGCCCAAAGAGTTTAAATGACAATATTATTTACTAACACTTGAATGAAATACGTAGGACAATGTTAATCGGACAAAAACTCGATGCTCAAAATGTTAAAGTTTCATTTCTGTACTGGCCGGCACATCTGCCTGATTTGCGGACTATTCAAAAACATCTGACGAATCGTATCGCAGCTCACAACTTGATCGCTATTCAAACTAGAGCTGTATAACATGAAAACATCATAAAAATGAAAATAGTAGAGATCGCAACAAAATCTAAGGTGAAACTATAGAAATTAATAGCATATTATTTTTAGCAGGCCAAACGTTAGGTTACACGGCGTGTTTGCTGAAGTGCTCTACGGTAGGATGCCTTGTAACGGACTTATACTATTTTTTTGTCATTTGTTATTTTCGAATTTTTCGAATCTATTCTATCTTTGAAATAGCTAATATCTTTGAAATTGTACTGCTAGCCGCTGATGCTAATAATGTACGTGCAGGTAAATGAATAAAAATGCGAGCTAACAGACGCGGTGCGGAAGGCGCAGTTATTAATCTAAGGAATAAGTACAGGAAGAACACACACAAAGCCGCTGCTAGAGAGAGATGCGCTTGACATAGAGCTATTTAACCTTAATTAAAACGGCAATTTTCTGACCTTTACCGACAAAGGCTTAAGGAAAAATTTTTGTAAAATATCCTGTTAGTTGACGAATAGTGTTTCTGTAACTGTTTGCAATATTATTTCTATTCTACTATTAGCTTTACACGGGTTCTATGAAGGATGATTAACGGTTGACGTTATGCTTTTATCTGATCATATCATACTGTAATAACAGGATATAAACAGCACGTTAATATTAATACCTGATTCTTCTTCTATATCTTAGGTAGCTAACTGCAGAAGCATCGCCGCTAAAAAAAAATGTCATTTGATGGCTGTTGCCCATTATCAGTTCTGTTCTCAGCCGCAGCAGTAGCAGAACCAATAACAGTGTTAAATGATTGATCCCCTGGATATCTCGATAGTGTTTGTACTGGCCAATAATAGTCAAATAAATGAAACCCTTGTTATATTTTACGGAAACTACATCCACAATGGCATCTATGCTATTGCCCGAATTAATTAGTTCTACAGCTAACCGTTGTGTGTGTCCACTCCGGAGTTGTGAGAGTGACAGATCATCGCTTTCTACTTTCCTTTTAAATTACCAAATATATTACCCTTTTCAATTTTAATGCTTGATTAAACAATGACAGCGGCAGCAATCGTAGTTCTAGCACGTAAAATAAGCTTTGTGCTGTTATGTGTGAAGCTTCCAATGGAGCTAGCTAGGTTAGTTCGATCCGTCCCACAAAGATTTTACGAAGAAATGTCTGAAAGCGCAAGTTGCTAACTTATGCAGTCCAAATCCGAATGACGCTTTAACGATGTAACATTTATTTATGTTAGTGTCCAATAATGTTCTTGTCGAAAGCAAAATTGGTTCTGTCTAACCACGCTCGATGACCGAGTAGAAATCTGCCGCCACCACATGTTACATTAGACGTGCGATAAAATAATGAAGATAAGTAAATACATATAACTGATACTACTAAATACACCTGTCTTTCGATTCAGATCTCGCACATTAGAATTGAAGAGCTTCTTTCAATATTAATCGTCGTAATAGTGCTGTACAAAGCGTGTTTATCTACTGATTTTAACGGCACATGAGGCGATCTCAGTTCGGAACTGAGCTTCACTACAGTTACGGCAGCACCACGCGTGAAACTTACTAGTCTATTCATATCGGTCGTTTTGTTAACAAAACTAATTGGTCATCTTTTAACCTATCCTAATTTTGTTTTTACCTGTAAGGATATATATTATTATAAGAATGGCCTTTGGTAGTATATAAACAGGGAAATAGTCGTAATTAGAGCCAAAAGAGGATTTCGCATGGCAAACAGAAATATTTTGTATGAAATTGTTGTGCCTCTCTGGTATCATTGATTTTTCCAGCGAAAGAGGTTGTCAGTTGCTTATGGCATTTTTATATGCAAAACTGCAATAACAATCTACAGGTCTACAAGGAATCATATTGGGAACTTCAAAACAAAATAGATAAATACAGGAATGAGAAATAGTAGTGTAATATAACGTGTGTCATAATGGCACTACCTTTATATGTCAGACATGCAAAAAAGGCGTAGCTTTGTGCAATCGATTTTGGACCTGATTTTGACTGCTGAAAGGCGGCAAAGTGTCAATGTTTTTCTTTATGTTCTATTGCATTTAACCAAACACTGTTTTCCAACCAAGCAATTTCCCTGACTCACCCCTATTTGGACAGGGTCAGCCAGAAGCTCAAGAGGAGACGGGGTGACAAATATATAACATCATCATTGTCACTATTAAAGTACATACCTGTACCCACCACACGGCCGTTTGATACTGAAAGGCGTAATGTCGGCTCTTTTAGATATAGCTTCTTACTAAACGATTGCGCTGACTTTTCAAAACAGACCTCCCTTTCATGGTTGTCACCAATGCCCTTTCCACGTGTTATGTAGTCACTTTGAGTTAGTCAGGACAGTGTGAGGGTTTGCGGCAAGACGGCACCTGGCGGCGTTGCTTAAGGCAATAATAAGCAGAACGCGACGAACAGGAAATCGCACTACGGGATAATTGACAGCAACAACAAAGATCAAGATATTCTGGCAATATCATTGGATGCTAAAGAAGGATAATACTCCTCTTTCGAAGACAAGTGCTTTCTCCTCACTTACGAAGAACGTCTAAAACTAGAGATTATTTTGCAAAATATTTCACCAAACATGTTTTTTCGAACCGCTCAGATTGGGGTGATAATGGCTCGTTCTGCAAGTTCGGCGGCCCCAAGGCTTCAGGGAAAAGTGGCCATTGTAACGGCATCAACCGATGGGTGAGAACGTTTATAACACCTAGAACTAGGACTAACTAGAATAAGAAAAACTTGTACGAAGCAGTAGAAGAAAAAAATATCTTTAGAGGGCAAAATACGAGGTGCTTTGCCAAATGCACGCTCTTGTTGTACAAGTATGAATCAACAATGAATAATAATAGATCTCTGCGTATTAAATTTTAATTGAAATATTGTGACACAGTATTTTTTTTTGGTAAAGCTTGTGGAATTTAACAAAAATACCTTTCGCGCAGTCAAAATACAGTTTATGAATTTATCGCTTCACAAACCATAAGAGCAGGCTTACAGGGCACGGTAGTATGGAGTATTACCACGCAGAAAAAAAATACTGAAAAATTGGACCAGGACGATAAACGTGGAACATTACCTTTTTTTCGTCACCGTGTTAATAATGAAGTTGATAATGAAGCAATCAAACGCCGACGAGCAACCTCAATTTTTATCCTGCTGATTATAGCTTGAACGTAACACGAATCCGTTCACGGTTTTACGCAAATCAGATAAAACACCCAATTTTGTTACTCGCAACGAGAAATTTTACTATCATTTAATGTCACCTTAAGACGCTATAGTATTACGTAGAGCTTGATTCGGTAGAGATAGCGCTAATTGTTTTGCTATTATTGTTAATCTCTATTTTGGACACTCATTAATTGAAAAGCACTTCATTAGCATTGGCTTTGCGATAGCTCGTCGCTTAGGGCAGGAGGGCGCTAACATCGTGATTTCATCGCGGAAGCAGGCCCACGTCGATAACGCGGTGGATCAGTTATCTAAAGAAGGACTCTCTGTAACTGGGGTCCCTTGTCACGTAGGCGACACCGCGCAGAGAGCGAATCTTTTTAAGGTTGGTGCACTGTGGGCTTGCCAACAATATCTGTTATTGTCATTATCATTTGAACTCATACAACAATCAGGAGATGGCTGATTGCGGATAGAGATTTATCCTGAGGTACCATGATTGGACGCATTTGAAATAAAATATTGAGTTTACAACAATAAAAAAGCTAACATAATTTATGTGACGCTTCGTAATACGGTAAAGTGCTAAATATTAGATCTGGTGAACCTTCCTAATCTTTTTTCATACGAGTCCTAAGAACTGCCCGTTGTTGATTCTAACCCTCATTTTTGTAAGACCGTATAATGACAATAAATTTAGATTACTAAACTTTAAACAGAAGAAGAGGGAATATGCTCACGTAGCAATCCTTATTACGCAAGTAGAAATCCTTCATTTCCGATCTATATATTTTCAGGTAGCTAAGGAAAAGTTTGGTGGTCTCGATATATTGGTGAGCAACGCAGCTGTTAACCCATCCGCTACTCAGGTTTTTGATGTAAGTTGCATTTCTCAGTGTTTGAGTCATCGAAGACCTTACACATGCATAGTTTGACGCTATTTTATATTGCATTTTTCCAGACCCCTGAAAGTGCTTGGGACAAAATCTTCGATATCAACGTCAAATGCGCCTTCCTTCTGACGCAGGAGGCCTTACCACTGCTGGAAAGAAGTTCTTCGCCTTCCATTATTTACATTTCTTCGATAGCTGCTTATCAGACTATGCCGGTACTATTTGAAATATCCATACATTTTTTACGACACGGTGATAATCTTGAATTATTGCAAGTAGAACCCTTTGAAGAAGCACTTAACGCATGCCCATTTTATTTATAAAGCTAACCAATTGTTTAAATTTCGTAATAAGATAATACACATTTTGCTTCCTTCGAAGCACTTGTCTCATTAATACTGTTGACAGATTGCGTTAGCTAGCTCGAATGTATGCCGAACACAATTCGTGGCAACAAGGTTCTACAGTTGTACCAATTTAAACATGTACTCGCGGTGTATTTGTCAATGGTTTATTGCTATTGCAGATGTTGGGAGCGTACTCTGTATCCAAAACCGCTCTTTTGGGTCTAACTCGCGCGGCGGCGGTGCACTTAGCGCCCAAGATTCGTGTCAATTGTGTAGCGCCAGGCATTATTAAGACACGGTTCAGCCAGCTACTGTGGGAAGATGAAACCGTATGCAAAGAGATGATGGAGATAACCCCACTTAAGCGGTATGTTGTTTCTCTACACTACCATTTGACAAAGGACAAATACTCTCTATTCTATTATGTACTACAAGCTTTTGAAACTTTACGCTAGAAAACGCCAAATAATGGATTTGAGATATCGCCAATTTGTATTCTTTGTCTTTGTACGTTCACTTGTGTTTTGCAGGTTGGGAGTTCCTGAAGATATCTCTGGCGCAGTGGCGTTTCTGGTTTCTGACGATGCTTCTTATATTACCGGAGAGATATTGCCTGTTGCCGGTGGATTTTTTTGCAAGATTTAGTAAGAGGATACAGCAGCCACTGTAGCAGTATTATCGACATCGGTACTTTTCTTGCGGCTCACTTCAATAGATTCGGTGAACGGAGTTGATGAAGCCAAAAATAGAGTAATTTTCACAAAAGCAACTGTTCGAATAGTAGCACTTTAAAAACCTGCTTGGTGGTTAATAATCTCTCTACAAAATCAGTTTTCATAAAACATACTACATGTTTAATAAAATGTTTAACTGTTACTTCATCCTGGGGATTCGATTCGAAACACTAGTTTTGCCGACTAAACATTAGAACTTTTATTATATCTACAAGTTTTACGCCTGGCATCGCTGTTAAGCATTCCATCAGATCAAAACTAGATGTGTCTATGTCCAAATCTGAACCTAGATCACAACTTGCCCCTTTAAGCTATCTTTCATCACTTTTATTATCACTCCACTATTAGCAAATTACTCGACTATTATAATTTTGTAACGCTTGTGTGGTATATAAGCCGTCAATTGCCGTAATATGATCTAAATAAATAGCATTTATACTGAATAGCACCTTAGAAGAATCATTGGGTCTGTTTCAATAGATGTGCCGTAAATACCGAAAAGGCATTTGTTGAACAGACGTCCAGGACGATGTGTCGTCATATGCAGGTTTGTCAATGAACAAACGACGAATCAATCAATCAATGATTACCTGCTTTGAGAAAAGACAATGTTATATTGTTTTTTTTATTTTTCACTCATTAATTTAAACAACAACTTACGCTCTCTTATAATTATAATCCGTCTGTTAATTTAAGCAATGATGCCGGTGTCAAGCTACAACAATTACACTGAAAATGTAGGTACTGCCTTCCGTTTAAGCAGTCCGAAGATTCAGCTGTTCGATGAAACACGCATTAGAGATGAACACTGTCTTAATCATAATTATAATAACATAAACAGCACTAGCTTGCTATATACTTAGATGCACATCACTTTGCTTACTATGTACAGAATTGGGAAATATGCTCCTAAAGCAATAAATATCCCTGATTTGCTTACATTCCCCCTTGTCTAAGTTTTTCTATCGCACGCACCTTTTCAACTATGCATCCTTTGAATCACTTGAGTACGTTGAGAAATATATATAATGGTGTGCTAGTGAAGAGGGGAATATTAAGCCTGGTTCAATATTTGTGCTCGCCATAAATGAGTACCTCTGCACAATCCCCAGCCAGCGTTTCTCGTTTGACTAACATACAAGGATGTGTGTATTTACTTAAACATAAGGCAATATATTGTGACATTTACGCGTTCACGTGATTCTAATTCGTCACTTTTACCTAGCTTTTGTCACCACGAGTTTCCTCCTGCCAGGGCTCTTCTTCGGTTAACCGCTCACCATGTCGTTTTTTGATATGCATATAAACAGAACTCCGCCACTTAGCCTTGTAGTCACAGAGAGAACAGCTAAATGGCAATGGCTCTTGATGAGTAAACTCATGCTGTGTGTACAAATACTTGTGGCGCGTGGCAAAGTCACATTTTCCGCATTTGTATCGAGGTTCCTTATCGTGACTGAGCCGATGGCTAGCGATTCTGTGGCGAGCTCTAGCGCGATAGCCGCATTGATCGCAGGCATAAGGAAGCTCTGCAGAATGCATTTCTGCCATATGGGCGTACAATGTCGCTGTTGAAAGGAAAGCTGATTGACAGACATGGCAAGGTAAAGCCCGTGGGGCTACGTGCACTTTTTGTTTATGCACCTTAATATAATTACGTCGCCTTGACACATAATCGCATTCATCACATCGAAAATATACACGGCCATCTATACGGACCGCCAACGGCTTGTCATCGGTGTCTTCGATATGTTCAACTTCGGCTTCATCGGATGGTTGGGTTAGCTTTACTTCTGTCGAACTCACTCTTTCAAAGGAAGCAGCTGAATCAAGTTCACCTTCAACTATGTAGGCCTCCATTGCTTCCGTGCCCGGCCCTTCCTGGAATAGCAACACGTATTCCTGACGGCCGCTCGTCGTACCATCGGCTCCGTAGAGCTGCTCCACGAGCATTACGTGCTGTCCATTTTCGGGATGACCTGTAATAACACATTTATCCGACTGCAAAACTGAGCTTTCTTCCCCAAAATTGACTAACTCTTCCGGCTTCCGTGTTTGCTCATGAGGCTGCTGGACACCCGCGTAGTCATCCTCACGTTGACGAACACCTTGGCTGCTGTGATCGTTCACCTGTAACTTCAGGTCGTTAACTTCGGTGATTGACTTCGGTCCCTCCTGGCTTCGATTTTCTTCAGATTCTTCATTTGTTTGCGGCCCTCTTTGCTCATCTGGATCGTTATCATTATTGCCGTAACGTATTTCCTGGGAAACTCCTTCTCGGCCAGACTGGTTCTGGTCAGATTCCTCCTGGTTACGGTCCTGCTCACTGAGCCGACGTTTTTCGTGATCGACTACCGGAGCGGTCATGTTTACATCCTGACTCCAGTCCGTATTCTGTTGCTCGGTGCACGTCACTGAGTTTGTTGGTTCTGCTTCTATCTCAGGCACATCTGAGAAGGCACAACGTTTACGCATATTAAAAAGGCTGGATACTTATTACTAGCGAATTCATCCAGTGTATACAGTCAGTCCTCTAAGGCAATGTGAATTCATAAAGCTGGCAGTAGGCCGGATCAATTTCCTTTGTTTCCTGCTGTCACAACCAATTCGTTTTCAATAGAGACGCCAATATTTAGCTATAATGTCTTACTCTTATTAGTATTAGAAGAAGAGACGTTAATCAGATCACAGTTTAGTTTGCCTTGCTCCGCTTGGCCAATGTAATGCCAGCAAGCTATTAAAGATCATATTAATAAATGATTAATTATATAAATAAATAATCAATGTGTTCATTAATCTACCAAATATGTCAACTAACAATAAATACAAAATGGCAACTAGCATGCGAAAAATGTGTTTTGTAATTTTTGCAGTGCAAACTCATCGAGCGTCATCATTAGTTCGAACAAGGTAAAACATCCATAAACTTTCGCTGGTCTGGGATCTGCACCCCTACGCTGCTCAAGAGGCGCGTGATAATTTACTATCGTCCCTTATGTCTACGCCAGCTGTACTACTCGAATATAGCAGAGTTCGCATGCAGTTAAGTATACATGTAAGTTAATAAGAGGGAGTTGCTGAACTCCCTCTTATTTTGCTCACCCATGAATATTCACCAGCGTTTGGCCAATAACTTTGGCTTATAATGAATACATTAAGTGAACTGGAGTATAATACCAAAAAAAATTATTGTTTTCAATTTGACTACCAAACTAGGTTCATGCCTTACTCTTTACGCATACAGTGTGATTGTTTTCGTTATTAGCTGGCCCTCTACCTAAAAGCTGCTCCCTTATTTGTATGAAGACCTAAAAAGTATATTTCTTTAGAAACGAGGGCGAAAGACTAGCATGTCTAAATGAATCAATTCAAAGCTATATAAATCAAAGTCAAAGCAACCATAGTAATCAATTATATGTAGGAAATCCTACCATGACGGCTTTTTTTATTTATCCCCGTTTACCGAGCTTTCTATGCACGATTACTTAGCGTTTATAACACGTAGCTAAAAATATTTCTTAAAAACGAAGTACCATTCAGTACACTAGTGTACATGTTCCGTAAAGATAATTCTGAATATGCACCATCATAAGAGTGGGTTCATTTTGTAAGCGCTGCGGACTAAATAGCAAGTAATTAGCAGAACGACAATTCCTGTATCAAACTAAAGGCATGTAGTACGACCGCATCTGATGGTAACAGCAATGTTTTCAAATTTAGAGCCGATCGTATCTATCAATCTTTTCAAATCAAAACTTTTATTCCGGCACATGTTAGCACTTTCTTATTGTCAGCGTTCGCATCAATACGCTCCATCTACAGGATGTCATTGCTTCCATCTGCAAGAAAAAGGAAAGGTTAGAAAAAGCGAGTTCTTTTCCTATATTTGTGTTTATGTACATTTAGTTATATTATTATTATTTAATGGACATTAATAGATTTGATTATGATTATACGCCACTAGATTTAATGTAGGCTTGTAAGAATGGAACACGATAACTTCATGCTGGCACAAAAAATATATTGTACTTTTCTTATGTATATAGGTTTATTACATATGCTAATAAATATCGAAGCGTATAATGCACATTTCGTTGTCTGTATCTCGTTGACTTTCCTGAGTAGGCAGTCGTTGATTACAAACCAAAGCTTCCGTCACACACCTTCATTGTAGGATCAAGCAAACACTTAGTTGGAATACTATATGATTACTCTATCCATTAAGTATCCACGACAAAACGAAAAATGTTCGGCCTTTACGCTCATTTATAGCCCACCAACCCATAATGTATACAACTTTATACCTGTTTCTAATTCCTAAAGTATTGACAGAAATAATAGAGGGTTACTAGTCCTTACCACTTCCGTTTATTGCAGTCGCTAGTTTGACCGCTTTTTTTAGGGAATTATACTTCCTGCCAGGTTGAACGTCAGAAACCAGGATGATTGAATATAAAGCCCGATCATTTTTTGTGTGTGGATCCGATAGGCATTGCTTTAACAAAATATTTTCATCAATAAGTATACTCCCTTCGTAATGCCATACTAATCGGAATTGTAAGCATACCACATTTTTATGATAATGAATCAAGCAATATTGATTTCAATAACAGCGATATAGATACAACAAAAACAAAAAGGGCTACTCAGTAAGCTGTACAAATTGATTCTAATATCATCTTAGTTTTCTTTTTTTTGCAAGGTTGACAAAACTAAGTAATTCGCAGGACTGTAGCCGTAACTTGAAAATATGTAACTGACAATTTGTCTAATGTTTTATTTTCTCTACCACCCGCAATCTCTGCAGTAATCATAGAAACCTTGCAAACGAGTAGCTAGGCTTAATAGGGCGTATCGTTCGAAAAGACGGTAGGCTTTAGCCGTTTGCGATAGACTCGTTTCGTCAAAGAAAAGCAGCTTTAATAACCGCGAAAGCTTTCCCTATTTAATAGCAACAGCGACTCCCGAAAATCATACAAATTACCCTCACTGCGCAGTTCATAAGTCGCTTAACTTCAAATAGCGGCGTCAATGCAAATCACACAATCCAATCTTTCAGAAATATGCTTATAATCGTGACAGTGCGAATGTTTATTTACTACTATCGCGATCATTGACGCTTTTATATCTCTCGTGTCTGATAGAGCATCCTTATCTTTTCTTTAACTTAGGGCTGTTTATCGGGCTAGCTTTACCTATAGAAAACGTTTCGCGCCCTTAATTCCAGAAAAAAATTAGCTTCTTCACACTTAACGCTGACTTACTCGTTTACAAGAAAGCATAAGAAACGCAGAAAGTAGGGAACACCGCTCTGCGCGTTGCAGTAAACTCAGGAAACCCGGTCTCTCAGGCGATTCTGATCCATCCTTTCGTTTGATACAAACTTCTTTTGATTCTCGACATATTACTGTGACCTCTTGCGCTGAAATTCCTATTCTCGTTCAATACTCATGACAGTATTTAAACCTAGTTATCATCTTTCAATACGATTACTTCATGCCAGTCTGCTCTTAATCTCCCAGTTTTTTTTATTTGAGCCTACGAGACTAGAGTTTTAGAAATCAGTTTCAAGCAATACAGTGACAGTCAGTGTGGCATATCAAATACGGTATAAAATATTGATTCTTTACAAATATACGTATATACAAATTTATCAAGAAAGTATTGACCGTTTTTTTTAGCTGCAATAGTAGATATACTAAAATTATTGCAAAAACTGTTATTCAGATCTAAGACGGGACGCTTTGGTTATGAGGGAATTCATAATAAAATTCACTTCATTTCACAATTTTGTATAACAAAGGCACAAATGCTGCCAAGGCTCATCAAAAAGTGCATGTTATTTATGGTCAAAATGCGTTATCGAATAGTTTTGCGTTTTTCGTTCCGCGAATGACTATGTGAAAGAAGTCCCTCGCAGTGGTCTATCAATGACGGTAAAAAAAATTATGAAATTATTTCATAAAAACGCGTAAATAACCAAGGAACTACACACCCATCAGCGCTCAGTTTTGAGTCATTTAAAGAAAGCTGGCTACAAAGGAGCTTCATGCCTGGGTACCGCATGAATTAAAGCAGAATTATTTCTTTGACCATATTTCCATCTTCGAGATTCTCTACAAACGCACCGAAATCGAAGCATCTGTAAAGCGGTTGATCACGACTAATAAAAAACGAAGCACATATGATGGTAACAAGAAAATAAAAAGAATACACTATCTGTGCCAATGATCAGACTGGTGCCAAAAACGTGATGTTATGTGTTCCATGGGATTGCAAAGGAACCGCGCATTGAGTTGCTGTTACCTGGCAAAATGATTGATTTGGACTTTTACTGCCGAAAATTAAAGTTATCACAATCCACTGAAAAAGTCAGCTGGAACTGGTGAACAGAACAGACATCGTCTTTAATCATCACAATGCCAGACCACATACAGCTTACTACCTGGCAAAAATTAAAAGAACTTCAATCGGAAGATTCAATGCATGCGTCGAACATTGATGGAATCGTAACAATGTCGGAAAAGTGGCACAGCGTCATTGATCAAAATGGCGCATCCTTAGTGTGATAATATTATTTAGAAATAGAGGAAATATTTTCCTTAAGTTTGACTTAGAGACGGTCAACGCTTCTAAAAAATTATATATACACCGATATATTTAGGTATACGAGCCTATATGATCCACTATTAAAGATTCAATAAATTATTGAAAGAAGTAAACAGAAGTGAAGGTCCCAATCAAAAACGCTACACTTTAAATCTGAACGCTTATGCAAAGCTATTTATACGTATGTTTAAAGCTTACACTAACTATAATCAATAGTATTCTATATTATCTTGCTCTGATGTTGTCTAGCCTCTTCGCTTCTGGCTTTCCTTCAATAACACGCCCTTCAATATTACTCACTGAACGCTTTGGAATATACAGGTAAAATATTATTGACATCGTATCGTCTTACTAAAGTTACTTCCGTGTTCAGAGATATAATGGGGATTTTTCTTCCTTCATGTGCAGGATGTCCCACAATTAAGTTATGGGTGACCGTCTTAACTTAGTATCGCAATGACCTTTTTTTATTAGTCCTCAGAGGCTCTCATGCTCAGTAATATCTTACACTAAAAACGTCCAAAAAAACAATATGGTATACTAATTAATCGAATTGATAGATATCATGTAACACGGATAAACCCATCGATTTCTTGGCTTGCTCGCTGAAGAATACTAACTCTTCAACCAAGATTGACAGTTGTGATCGTACTGATTCAATAACCTTGACCGCATAAACCGCAGTCGTGCCACTTCAATCATTATTGGTCTATGTATATTTGGAGCGACTGCCCACGCCAAACAATGGAACGTTTAGCCAGAAGCAAAGCTTTCCGCATCCAACAGTGTAAAAGTCCGCCACTAGTTCTTCAAAAATGTTAACGACATTGTCGTAGTCACCGCTATTCTCAAATGAAGTTATACACCATCACCGCATCACTATTACTCTTTGATATCCAGAACTGAAATTGCGTTCATGAAAAATATCGCATCTTTGAGAGTCACTTTGTTGGAACCTGATAATAGAATTACCAAAAATGACTAAACTGGTGTCAGAGAATATTTTTTCTGTATTCTCTAGAGTTTAAAAATTGCACACAAAGCTGTTAGAACACAAAACCAAGCTAGTTGCATTGCTTGCAATACGGCAAAATAATTTTCTTAAAAAGACATTTTCACATTTAGACGAACTCACCGCAGTCTAACGACGTTCATGATTAATACCAAGTAGAGTCCAAAGTGCGTTTTGACGAAAAAACCAAAAATAGCGGGCATTTTCTCAATATTTTCAAACTTCCTGATTTCCATCCTGAATTTTAATGGCACATTTACTATTATGCTAAGCTTACTCTGCAACACTACCTAAAGTGAGTCGCTTTAAATAGAACCAGTATATAGTTTTATCCGCCATTGAGACGCATTAGGATATTCTGGTCCAGCTCAAATCGAATTGTTCAAAATTATCAAACGTTGAAGTCCGAAGTAACGCTTAGACTAGGCTGATATTAATGGATGTTATAATAAAAGATGCGCTGCTACTCTAATGATAAGAACAGTAGAGAACCACAATCTTTTATAACGTATAAATACTTCGTACGTATGTCTTATCCATATGCCATGAAATACGTCTGATCCTACCTCTTGATCCAAAAACGATTGAATTTGTCAAACGCTAGAATGATGCACGTTTGTTAATGGTACTTGATTGACCAAGAGAATACTTGATTAAAAAATGAACTTGGCCACTTATGTTGTACATTATGAGCTTTGTACGTGCATTTAACTCAATTACCGCCATTATGATTCCTAGTGTAAACAATGTTTATGCTTTAACCATATTTCATATGATACCCAATAATAAATTTTCGATATCCAGGTAGAGCTATTTCTATTAATGTACCCACGAATAAACGGATAACTATGTCTGGAATTGGCCATTCCGGGCCAAACCTCCACCTTTTCCTAATGATTTTATGGTTATTTTACCCATCAGTATGAATTAACTAGTACTGTTGCCACGAAGCGTTAAAAAAGCAAGCATCACAAATAGAGGTGACAATGCCAAAGATAGTACGCAATTGACAAGCATAAGATTTCTTACATATTTCGGCAACTGTGGGCTCACTATTAAGTGTTACCATTTTATATTATTGTTTATAGTATCGAAAAGGTTGTATCAAATTCGCTTACGACGAGTTTTGTTTCGCTTGAGGAGCTACAGTAGGATCAGTTGAGTCAGGTCGCAAGGAGAAGTAATTTGATATGGAAGCGACAGAGGTTATCGAGGTCCAGAATAGACCACCAGTCTGAGTTACACCCTGCCCGGATTCGTCTTTGCGATCTTTGTTGATACTTGTTTCTTCAACCTGACTGGGAGAAGTAGGCGATAAGGGGTAGAATGGTATAATTGACGACGCAGCAGGTTTTGGAGCAACAGTTGGATAAATGCCCTTTAACGCGTAGTGTTCCTTGACCATTAGCAGCAATGTGTCTTCCGATTCCCTATGAATAAATCCAAATACGCAAAATATATGCAAAAAAACATGTTCCATGCATCCGCTCAATTAGAAACGTACTACGTTCGTGACACAATTAGTTCTTCAATTCGTCAACTGAACAAACATTGATAGCCAGATGTAAAATTATAACTAGCGAATCCAAATTTGAACGTTTCTCATAGTCTATCAGCAATAATAATAATGTAACACTTCCTACCAGTAACAAGCATGGCTGAACAAAACGGAGAGGTACTCGTTGAAACTCTCTAAGGGACCTTCCTGCAGAACATGGTCCACTCTGCGACCTTGATTCAATGCCCAGCCATCAACCGCCGATTCTGTGCTGTTAGAGGTTCCTTCTATAGCCGAACCCTGTATAATTAACACGGCAAAGTAAGTAGTTAATATATTACGTAAAAACTTACTATTATGTCAAACTCAGTATTGATCTGGTGTTATTGATTTTCGGTAAATCTTTAAAATATTTCTATAAATCCACTAATGAATCAATATCCATCATAAAAGCATGTATGCTTCCCAGAAACCAAATTGTGTTTTTATTGGTCGAGCTTTCTTGGTGAGTACTTTCTAGGAGATGCTGCGTAGTAACCAATGCTCCTTAGCACGGTTCTAGTTTGCTTCGTAAGATTAGATAATTAACTATCTACAACGAAATGCGTGTATTCCCCTTTAACAAACTTTCAGCAACAACAATTGTTTAAGAAAACGTCAATGGCTATTCGATATATATGTCCGGCGTTTACCTGCACGCCTCTCGAATTATTGCTCGGCTGTTGTTCCGTGCTGACGGAGTCGCGCCTATGTAAAGAGCTGCTTAAAGCAGAAACAGCGTCGACGAACTTCTGTTTAACTTCTGTTGACACCTTCTTTAAAGATTCTTTAACTTCGAGGTGCATCCGTTTGCGTCCTTTGTGGTGTGGAATTTGAGCAGGTTCCAGTGTAACAGAGGGATCAATCAACGGCTCCATTCTATAGGCCTACAAATCAATATATGTGGGTTATCACAATCACCGCCAGCAAATATTTCAGAATCAGTAATAACCTATTATACTATATGAAGCTTCAGCAATGTGCGATTGTACTAAATACATTAATTATAATTCAAACATTGTAATTAAAAATGGTTTTACACAATGTCCTTAGGCAGCAATTAAGTTTAAATCCTAAAAAAATCGATACCTTTGTCTTAGCTGTACTTCAGTAAAATTCAATATACATTGATTACTATAAAGGTACGTTAGAGGAAGTTGTTTCTATGAAAATTATATTGCAAATGAAGTAAAGGAAGGCTTACGATAGGGTCGTAAGGATGATAGATGTTGAAGTATCGGGGGCAAGTGGGAAGACGGAAGTCCTTTCCTAGTGTTTCATTTCCTCGCACAACAATGAACATCGCAATTGGCGAGCCCATTGCAAAGAAACAGTCCGGAGCGAACTCAAGTTGAGGGTAGTTCACTGTCAGCTGGCCAGTGCCTTGAATAATGTTTGTAAAATATTTATAAATTATAACTAATATATGTACAACTAACCAAATATATAAAACTTCATCCATAAGCGATTTTGGAGCCGGAAAAACAAACAAAAAACAGGCTAAAATTTAGAAAATAACCACGTTTATAGTGGTGAATTGTTTCTCACATTTAGTACATCACGAAAAATTGTGTGCATAGCTTTTCCTCCAATGATGCTTTATTCGAAGACTTGTTTTTCTTTTCCGTCCTAACATAAAAATCGACAATTTTTAGTATCGCACATGTATCCAGTTATATATTCGTCAGGTTTCAGACTATTTACCTTCATTTCCTTGAACAAGAAACTCGGCTCTAGTATAACTCTGTTTCCTTGAAAGTACTTTTCGTGGGAAACGCTCAACAGCATTAATAATTTTTCTAACTGAGCCTAGTGGAAGACCTAATTTTAAGAGGTCGGATTCATTCATAAACGCCAATGCCTGTATGTCGACTTCAGCATCGCTGAGTCTTGACACGTGACGCCGATCAATCGCCAGCTGATCAAAAAGTTCCTCTAGCGTAGATGGAGTTACTGCAAATGGAGATAAATTAGATGCTGATTTGGCGGAAGCGACCGAACTTCTCGAGAGTTGTTGATGCGATAATATGTCATAAAGGATCATGGAACCTACAATTGAGAAAAACGCAATAAATATTAAGCCACATTACGCTTTGGAATTCGGCGTGCCTAAAAAATAACTTGCTGGTATTCATTTTAAGGGAAATCGTTTTTAAAGAATATCCAGATTTATTTTCAAGCATATATACAGATTATCCATTTTTACCTCCTAAAAATTCTCCGTGGTCCTCCCGCTATTTTTTTAGTTAATTTCTAACAGACTATACTCACATGTGATAATTACACTTCTGTATTGCACGCGCGTTTCCCGTCGATGGATTCTATTAACTAACCTATATACAACGAAGCTTCACCAGTTAAATCCAACGCCTATAGTACCAGCCGTACGAACAACCTTTACAAACAACAAAGTGCGTAAGCAACGTCTCACCTAGACTGTGTCCTGCAAGGCCAATCGTGCCGGTGAAGTTAGGGTTCCGTTTCTTGAACAGGTGATGTAAACGATTAAGCTCGGAGCCCACGTGGTCAACAATAGTTTGACAATAGACGGGCGATGTGTATAAGAGAGCGTCCAGGATTGTGTCGTTTGAGAATTCTCGTACTCGGCTAATTGTATTGATTGTTATCTTCTGTAGTTTCCTGTTTCATCACAGACCCACAAGAAACACTTAAGACTGAACTTTCCATTCAATACATTGCCACCTATTATTCAGTAAATAGATAAAAATACCAAAGTCAAAAAAAAAACGCCGAAATAAACCAGCCCATTTGATGTTGTAACTTTAAACATAGTCAGACCTTTTCTGAAGGTCACTGTAAATTACGTGGCACAGTTCTCTTAGACTGTTGTCCTTTCAGTGAGTACGATTCAGCCAAGCTACCTCAGTACCATTTACGACTTTAGTCAAAGGAGTGACTCACTCGTCAAGTCCGGTAGTTTCACCATGCAGCTTGCTATGCCAAGATACCGGCAGAAATTCCACCCTGCCCACTTTCCCCGTCTGGAATTGTTCGCCAAAATGGTTCTGTATTAATTGATTGCTCATCGAACGGAAATCATCAAGGCACTGTTCGACCGTACGCATCTTCAAGTCGCACACTGCTCCGATACCATGCACAACAAATATTAAATGGTCAATTGTCTGGCCTTCACCGGGTTCGAATGCTGCCTCTGTCGCTTGATCCGCGCCACGCTTGACGATTCGGGGCCGAGGTGTGCTGTCCTGCAATTAACAGGGTAAATGTAAAAAGTATGTGTTTTCAGGTCATGCAGTCACTGAGAACTCAACTGAAGCATATGTCTCTTTCTAGTTTTTCTATATTGCTCAAAGCTTGTTTCGAATAGGTTCAATGAAATAGTAATAATATTAGTCCATCATAAGTACATAATTGCTTCTGGAAATCCAACATAATTCTAAATTTAATCATGCAGTAAGAAACAAATGAACGTTTGTTCTCAGCACCTCGTTTATCCCAGTGACTACATTAACTACATATATTCTACGTGGAATAAAAAACGTATTCGACATAACGCCGGATCGCAATAGCACTCATCTTAAGAAAGCTATTTCATATATATATATATACATAAGCAATCAATAGTTGACAGTTCTATTAATGCCGTAATGAAGAGACGCACTGATATGTTGCCCCATTCGTCGGTGAATCCACTCGGAACGTGATGCGTCATCAAAGTGGCGCTGTAGATTTTGACGTAATGGCCAGAACCAACATCGATTTGTCTGTTCCACTTATTTAAATTGTGACACTTTTGAAAGCTTTCCTACAAACAAAGCAATATAGGAAATCCAGTTAATAATCAAGTTACACTAAGCGCTACTTAAAAATCAGCTAATAAATGGTACCTCTGTCCAACCTAAGGTCCACGTCGCTTATCTTCAGTTTGGGCTCGCATCATAATTAGACCAAGAACAAATAAAAAGAAAACTAGAAGTGTATAAGAAAAAATGTTGACATAATTTACGAAAAAGTCTGTAACGATACTCATTTTTGCTTTAATTGTCATAAACTATGATTATGGTTGTGAGTTGGCGTAGTTTCTGTCATAGTATATGTAGGCGGGTAAAACAAAACCAGCCCGACAATCCATTTCACTGAATATCAAATGATGAACTTTATCGACTTCATGAGAGAATATTTCTAGTATTTTTAGAAACTCTAATAATGTAAAGAATGTAAACTAACAATTCGTTCCATAAATGCGTTAATTAATTATGTAATCAGGTCATGATCCTAACGAATTAACTCATGGACCTTGCTTGTACAAACCTCAAGAAGATGGGCAGTATCCTCTTCGTAAGGCGTATATCTGCTTTCACCTTCACCTTTGTAGAACCAAGTGCAGCGACGGACGTGAATGGCCTCTGGTTCGGTCCAATAAACTGGATACATCTTTTTTGACGAAAGGTCCACCTCGAACCGACCTCCACACACCGTTACGATGCCTGATCCAGCTATATGAGCTTGACGGCAGAAATGAGTAAAAAGTTTATTTGATACTGCAAATATAAGGCTATGTACGTATTCGGCTTGAGATGTGAGAACAGGTTTATGTGGGGACACCTATAGTAGAGATAATTCGAGAGCAGCCGCACTTCTAGCAGGCCATCCACATACCCTTACGGCAACATAATTACTGAGAAAAAGTACTCATTTTAAGACTGTTTGCGGTTGTACCATGTTGTCCTGGGAAAGGTTCAGGTTGTGAAATAAGCTGTAACTGTCTTTCACCACTGAAAACATATCTTTGCGAAGTTCGCAGAGACAAACTACTCTTAGACAATTTGGTTGTTTATTCTATTCATCCCGGTTAGGGACCCATCATATGTTGGTCGTTAAAAGACTACTGGCCGTAAACAAACCTGCCCCACTATAATCAACAAGCTGCCCTATTTCTGTACTAACTCTAGTAAATGCGCCAAATCGGTTCATAATATATATTTGTATATAAATATACCGATTACCATTTTCGAGTTCGTTTGAGTCAAGCAGACTGAACGGTGTCCAATTGTTGTTGTTGATGCTCATGGATCTTTCCAACGACCCACTGCTACTTGCCCCTCCGCTGGTACTGGTCCCCTCGATACCGGTAGCCGCGCTAGCGCTGTTGCTACCGGTTGCAGTCTGTCTCATGTAAAACCAATGTGGCTTCAGTGGTGGGGGTAAAGGTGACGGTGCCCGGTTGGGCGGTTCGAATGGTAAACTCGTCGGCCGAGTTGCGCTAGTTGTACCAGTCTCAGGAAAAGAACGTCCGGGCTCCCCCAAACTACTGGGGGCGCTTCCATTTCCAGATGAAGAAACACCAAACTCATTTGTGAGAATTTGGCGAATCTCTGTAAGACACGGTAACCCAACAGCAATATTGATCCAGTTGATGCTTATTATTATTATGCTTCCTTATTTTCGACAAAAAATGTACTAAACCATATTCACGAATAGACTGCGCTTGTAGAGCTTCAGCCAATCTCCTCGTAGATGTTTATTTAGCAACAATGTAATTGATGTACGCATATGTATAAAATTTAAAAATTAATATTCTGTGGATCCTGTGCTGTCCAATGTTGTACTTATAACACAGATAATCGATTCATTTCATGTGGCCTTTGTAAATTTCCGTTTGAAAAGCTATCTTTTGTACAAAGTAGAAAACATCTCAGACCCCGTTTGCTAAAAACTGAAATATAGTGGATTCAGTACGTTGCATACTTGAAAACGCCTTACATGACTGTTTATCAATGTTAGTCAATTAAACTCTACAAAAAACATAGCATCTGATTTTTCGGTAATATGCTGGCTAAGCAACAGGACCAAGAAAGAACACATTATTCGGATATCAAAAACCTATTCTCAAGCTTAAACTTTATGTGCTCGAGTACAGCAGTCGCGTTTAATACTGTTCATACTTGAATGCGTTTTTCAAACAACAGTCGGTTCAGTGTAAATCTAAGATGACCCTTCCATAGTCGCACCACCGGCTTGTTGGCGTCGACACGTGTTACATCCTTTCGATTAAATTAATTATGAAGGGATAAAAGCCACACTATAGTTTCCTGTAATTAACTCCACCGATTTACAAATTACGACTGAATTGAAATTACGAACAACTTGACTGGATGCATTTCACGCGCATCCTGGTGTATGAGTTTTAGAATGTGTATAAAAGCAGCTTCATTATCTCTTTGTTTTCAATAAAATTTTTAATGGACACATCTGCCTGTAATACTGAAATCAATTGCGACATATTTCCTTTGTTTTGCGTAGTCTCTTTCTAGTTAAAATCATCCCTGTTGGACTTTAGATGCTATGCGGATGACACGAAAACTATTATGAATAAAAATCTAGCACAGGTAGAACTACTGGGATGGGGCATGGCAGTACGTCGAATTACGGAAGTAATCCAGTATCATTTAGATTCATAAGTGCGACCTTCGGTTTGCTTCAAAGTCGCGTCATCTTCATTCGTGCAAACAAAACAGCGCCCAGGTTGCGCAAGCGATTCATCCATGCATTTCGATTGAGACTAGTCGGGCAGAATCCAAATTCTGTGTAGCTTAACATAATATGACTTTAATCCCACCTTTCTGAGACGAACCTTCCATCTCTTTCCACGCCGGTTAGCAATTTGGTTTTCCTATCACCGTCGCATGACAACAAGATTTTAACTCTTAAATTAGTCACGAACTATCGTGACAACTTTCAGCTTTTTTGCTCTCCCTTTATTGTCAGCAATCGTCACTTTAAGTTGGGATAAATTTTGATAGATCTTATTCTGTCGTCACTAGGACCACAAATACATTTACGGCTACAGATGCAATGAGGATCAAAACAAATGCTCGCTCTTTCTCTTGCTTAAACGACGGATTGTAAAGAGTACGGAACTTCAATTGTCACGAACTTCCTCATAGAACACGCATGATTTATCACAGAGGTTCGTTCATGTGGCAAGTGTTACATATGTGCAGAATTTCTCGAAAAACACACAATCTCACACAGCCATATAAATAGTAGTACAGCGTCGTGGAGAAGTAATGCAATACGCCACCTTTTTGCATCTTTGTATCCAGTGGGCGATCCCGTTACTGCTCCTTTTGTCGATTTTTGTACTGTTGTACCCGTTTGGTAACACATACTAGTATTAAAAATAGTATTTGTGTAGCATAATGGTGTATTGTGACAGTCAGAACAGGTTAAAATGTTTGTCTCTATTGGAAAAAAATTATGCAGTGTGGTGGTAACTCTCGTAGATAGGGCACCAAACGAAATATACTAATGGTAATATACGACAGAAAATAAGAAAGGTGTGATGAACACACGGAAATCATTTGGCGAGAGATGGTTTGCGTGTGAGGTTATGATCTTGCTTGTTATTTTTTATAAGATTAGTAGCTAGACCCCTAATTCTTTTTGTATGTTTTTTATGTAACTGGTAATTTGGTAATCCGATACTATTTTCATCACAACTTAAACGAACACCTGATTATTTTCGTGTTATATGAACAACTGCATTGCTTGCACAATACAACTTTAACTTCGTTCACGTCATAGGGAATCATGGCTTGATAAAATAAGCACTTGTACACATAGTCGCTTTTTCCATAAAAGTTTTGACACAAATAATTCATCATAAACCGAAGTATACCTTAATCTAACGGACGCAGATGAGAGTATTGTTACATCTGGAAAATATTTTAGTTATTGGTTACTAACCAAGTGCATAAGAAAACACATTTCAATAACAAATTTTCTAGTCAAAAAATTGGATCGCTGTATCGAAAAATGTTTTGTTTTTTGTTCATTTTGCGCCTTCATGTCCGCCCTTTCAACCCTCCTAGTTGTCGGAACGCGTCGGATCTTGCGATGGCCCGCCTCTCCCCTATGCACTTTTATCTGTGTGTTTGTTAATCGGTTTAGTGTAGAAGCGGCTGTTTTGCTGTCGTCGTCGTCGACAACGATTGCGAATAGTACTGGGCCAGCGCCGCTGTCATTTGTTGTCGCTGTCCCTTCAGAAGCGCCACAGCGAAGCCGGCGGATGCTGTTGCTGTAACGAATGAAGGTCCGAAATGAAGAGGGGCTTTGCGTACAGCCATACCTACAGCACAAATTCACTACACATTATCATCTGCTGATAAACAAACAAGACAGGGTGCTCTGAAACAACGACGGCTATTTTCGGAATACGAGATGCTTCGAAAAAGATAGTTGTTTTTTTTTTGTTTCTGTGTCTAGCATCGTCTCAGCGAATGATAGGATTACGTCGCGATCGTCGATAAACCTTTGTTGGCCTATGCCACAAGCTGCCTGAGGAGTTCCGGCGACCGACGGAGCAAGGCGCAACATCACTATACAGTTGTAGTAATAGCAGTGTTGCTGTTAGCTATGCATTGCTGGTAACGGCAAGGGCGTAAAAACTGAAAAGATTTCGTGGCGACCAACTGTAGCGCACCCACAGGTGTGGCGGATGTATCGATAGCAGCAGTCGTCGTGGTGCAAGCTGGATGCTGTTTGCGGCTGAGCTAGCCTCGCCATCTGCATCTGCAGCAGCAGCAGCAGCATTGCCGTTCAGTGGGTGAGGCTGTGTTTGTGTTACCGCCGCTGCCGAGTGGTGACCACAGAATTTCTACTCATTTCGAAGGTTGGCAACAGCGATTACCATTATTCGATACGAGATGGGCAGCTGTCTCAGCTCGCGAGAGCGGTCGAGACCATCTAGTGCTGACGTTCAGGTCGGCAGCGTTCAGCTATCAGGTTGGCTACAAATGCAACACTTATAATGTTTCATGTTTCATTCAATACTAGATAAATGCACACTTTAGATTTTTGTCGTGGTATCCTTCTATATTCGAATTATTGTAAGAGCGTTGTTGTCGTTGCCGTTATTGCCCGACTAATTTTTGGAAATAATTTTCGTTAGTCAGAAACTGTATTGTCCAAAAACGTTACTACTCACTGCTAAAAAAAGATGGAAGCAATTCTAGCCTCTAGTCTGGCGGCGAAAGAGAAATGGCATACTCCTGTTTGAACAGTTACTTAAGCGTCGACGTAAATTGATCATGATATAGAATAGTATAAGGACACGCAGAAATAGCTTATCAGTTGAAATCCTATAACATTCTGCTTTTGGAAGACACGTTACATAAAAAAAAAAACATTAGAAGATAGTAGGAGGTAACGTAATCGTTGCAGTTCCATGGTATTGGGTTCAAAACCACGTATAGCCAAAAATAAATTGTTTTGTATATATAATCAGTCCCAAATAGCTTAAATTAATATATATAACAACTGATGCTTTATCTACTAAACAGGAGTATGTGAAAAAGGAAGACTGCTGGTCCGAGCTATCGAATTGGAGAATCGTCAGTTTTTTACTACTTATATAACACGTGAGACTTCTTATATACCAAAAGAATTAACGGGGTGAAAACATTAGTTTATCGAATGAACCCTTTATTCTAGTGGCTCCGTAGACTAGTGGATGAAGACAATTTATAAAGCCATAATTTGACCTAGCACGAATTAGTTATAGCCAGGGCTAATGTTCAATGTGGAACGAGATTGAAGAGTGTCCGTTCTCTTTAAGGAAGCTTTTAGAGTTCTAGGGGCGATATTTTATTTTTACATGAATTATTGTTAACTTTCATTTACAAGCTAGAATGTTTAGTTACGGCTGGCTATTGAAAAAAAATTAATCCGGAATATTTCCTCAGTGATCCTTGACCCAGGAGTAGCTTTGAAAATCAATATAACTGTCAAAGGTTTAAGAAAATACCTGTAAACCATACTGCGGATCTAAGTAAACAAGTCAGTAATATAATAACTAAATCGTAAAAATATAAACGATCATATTGATCTCATGCTGCAAGATGGGCATATTGAATAACGATGCGACATCTTCAGAGTTTTTTTTGAGATGCACAGCTGTTTCTTAATATCTGAGATCATTCATTCGGATATTGTTTTTAGGCCTTTAGCAGGCCAGTTGCGATGAGCTATGAAAAAGTAGAAAGCTTGATTGCTTTATGAATATATTGTTTATGAATACATCCTGAAGATTAGCTGTGACGATAGCTTGCCGTACAAATTTTGTATTCAGTAAATGTTCTATTGCTAGAAATACTGCGAGCCATTGCGTTGAAAAACTTCGGAACGAAAATTTTGAAATTAAAAGTGAGCCTCGTGGAAGGCCCTCTGGACAGGAGTATAAGGAACAGCCGAGAGCTATGATAGAGGCTGACTTGTCTCTACGTGCATGGGAATTAGCACGCAGGGGTGGTTTATATAAAAATGTTATACTTTTTCTACTTGGTCAAATTCATAAGATAAAAAAATTGGAGAAACGGCTACCGCATGATTTGAGCGATGATAAAAACAGACGTAGAGATGCTTATCTCTTTTCGTTGTCACGTTATAACGGTGAATTCTTCGTACACTGAATGGTAATGAAAAATTATCAGAAAAACTATCGGTGGTTAGATGCAATTGAACTGGCGGGACATCACCCTAAAGTAACTGTGCATGCGGCTGTAAAATCTTGTGGTGCCTGTTTGGCTCTTTATTGTAGGATCTACTCACGACAGCTCCTAAGACCTGGTTCGTCAATTACAGCTGAAGTGTATCGTTAACAATTAAAGATGAAAAATTTAGCATTAGGTAGCCAAAAAATAAATCACTTTTATAGCACGATGACGTTCGACTGCAGAAATCACTCTGTAACCATCACAGTGTCTGACATTCTTTCCGCAGACGGCGCATTTTTTTAAAAATTCCAATTACCGCTTGATAAGTAAATTATTGAAATCTCAGCATGACGTTGAAATTGCTTTTTAAGACTTTACAGAATGTTTCGTTCGCTGTCGGCTTTGGACTTTGGTCAATGACGCGAGCTAACTATGATACTATGGTAGGCAACTTTTTTTCTACTTCGTCGGTTGCTCGAGCACCAAGAAATCTCGTATTCTGTCAGGTAATAACGGTCGTGAGGCAAGTGGTATAGAGGCAAGTGGTCGATTTCGATCTGTATGTCATTAGTGAATATCACGAAACGTTATACAGTCGTACGTAAATGTTGTTTAATGATACATGACATAGCCTACATCATGTATGTTCCCTTCCGACGTGCGCATTCGATAATCCCTACTTATTTTCTCGCGGGGATCAATAAAAACGTTTTTTTAAATGGTGCCGCTAATTTACTATGCTGCAGCAGCTATGGTCAATACGCTGTCTGGGAAGCGGAATCAAAACATTCGATGGTACAGGTAAAGGTGTAGTACTTTCGATCCCTTGACACAAATGTAACTTAAAAAATGTAACTTAACTAGTGCAGTTTGATGATGCTCGATGACATTGATTGTCCGAGCCTTTGACGTGACCTTTCAAATAGTGGCCGACGCAAGCTTACGTGATATTGATCCAGCTCGTCTACAAGCCATCACAACAAGTCTCAATTGTTTTACCGTACACCGTATATGATGAGCCATAACTGGCTTTGTTCTCGAGAACAAGTTCTGCTAGCGAATGACCAAGACTGATAGTCTATCAGTGTCCAAACAGCCTTGTACAATATTGCCTCACTGTCGTATTCAACCGCGTCTGATCATCGAACTAGTCGAACTCAAATAGAAGATCCAGGTTCCGTCTCTGAGCTACGGTGCGCAGCTTTTTAAAATTGTTGGTATATAATAATATATGGGTACAATAATATATAGGTATAAATCTGAAAAAATTTCGCCTATAGCGATTTCTACATAAGGGCAACTATATGTTAATTTCTTAATATGTTAACAAGCTTGTTATACAAAATCTGATCTACATAGTTATTATTAACAACGTATTTAGTAAAAGTAAGTTACTACCTTTAGTTAAGTTGGTCCACTTACGTAAGTTCCATTGAGCTCGATTTCATTGAATCAGCTGATACCATTACTGCAAGTCATTACCAATAACGGCATTATAGGTTCCAGGGGATTATGGGAATAACGCTTAAGAAAGTCGGTCGAAGAGAACTAACGTAGTGCAGTTGTGCATGATTATATCTGAAGAACTAATAAATTCACTGTATTCGAGACCTCGTGGAAAGCACTTATAACGAAATGTACTTGTAACTAAAAACCCTTTTTATTATACGCGGAAAATATTGGCCGAATTAGTGAACGTAAATAGTGTTGCAGAAATTAAGAATCCTAATGCCTCCAAGAAAATTTTTAGGTGCCACTTTTTGGGCAAAATCTTGCTCCAATCAAAATTTATCGCATTTTCTATTATTTACTGTCTATTTACTACTATTTATTAGGACTTCGCCTAACTTTAATTCTATATATGTTGGGTACATTGGTATTACGTTGTATCATATATGTTGTGCTGCTTGTGGATTGAGATGATAATTTGCATATTATATGGGTGCTATAGTCGTTATGAACTGGACCGATGTATATGTAAGTGAATATTGAACGCCAGTCGATATAAAAGACGACAAACTATCTCCTTCTGTGCACCCGTGCGAAAGCCTCCTTATATCAAGGAATCTATTGACGATCGAGGTGTCATACTGCTTTAATTACGGTCTATTAGAATATAAGACTAACAAATAAATTGACTTCCCGACTGATTTTCCATAAATTCGTTTCATTTAAACATGGTCATAAGCTATTTGTGTCATTTACATAACGTTCGAAATTCAAATCATACAATTATTGCTGTTATTTACGACAGTCTTAGGTATGGTTTTACTGAGGTCCACAACGATTATTAGAAAAACAGTCGTTAGTTAGTGAGGAAAACAGTTAAGCTACTCACGTCTCTATTACGAGGATTTGTGAAGCTCTTTGTTCTTTGGTAGAAATTAATCAGATACATGTCTAAATTTTAGAGCTTTAATAATGCATCAAATGATTTTTTTTTATATGAGTTGTTGTAGTAAGACAACAACAGACGAAGGTCTATATAACTGTCTTTTACTTCCAAACGATCAATCGGCTATGCATTATCGCGGTTCACGCGGTGAATCGACTGAGTCGTATTACTTTTAAGCGGGAAAATCTGCTTTTCTCCTCTTGAAAATCCAGCATTTGATCCGTGTCCATAGACGGAATGTGATATTGAATTTAGTTATTGGTATTCTGTTCAACTTGTTTTCCTTAAAACGTTGATACTCCAGATCTGACCAGACAGACACTTGTGGGTTCGTTGATCGTGTTCGGAAAACGTATTATTGGTCTTTGGCACCCGCGAAGTTTAGAATAAACTAACCCCATCGTAGCTATGTAGTCAACTAGTAAAAATCACATCTTCGACAGTCACTTCTTTTATCTGTTTGATGTAGAGTCTGTATTACAGTTAGACTGCTGTGTAATGAACTGTTGTTCTATACTACTGGACAGGAGACCTATTCGATAGAGTCAGAAGTTCAGTTGTAGTTTTGGTTTGCTATTCTCGATTATCGTGGCGGACACTGCATAGGTGGCTGGATAATTTCTAAGTACGGCGTCTCGGTAAGATGTCCCGGACCATTCTCGACGAGATTAAAACATCGGCTCCGCGTAGATAGGTTCAACAAATGAACTGTTTTTCTATGCACCTACCGGGTTATGTCGAAACGGTTCATTTTCTTTCACATGATCAGTTCACTACTCTGTTGTAAGTAGTGTAGCCCTCGGCATTGTCAAAAAGTTTTCTCATCGAAGAATCACAGGGCATCATTGCCAGCTGTAGTGTTACATTACTATATAGTTTCCTTTTTGCTATAGTTAGACTTGACAATGCAATCGCTTCTTGTGGTGTCTCGGATACGCGTCTGAGTGACTATTGATGCATGATCAGTATTAAGCACTTCTGCAAGACGCAAGTGATGTCTACTTTTATGTTACTATTAGCGAAATGGTTGTCTATCCAAACTAAATCGAATGTAGCTAAATTCGTATAAGTATTATTGGTACTTCAGCCATATCGAATAAAACTATGTCTTCGAGGAATTGCGACTTTGATAGGGTAGCTGATTTGAGAAGGTACACTCATTGGTACGGCGGCATTGATTGATCGCCACTCGTGTGGCTCGGAAGGCTTTAAGGCTGGCTGTATCGGAAGCTGACGTAAACGTCTGCGTTCAATTTAGATCGTGCGAGCTCTGCTCTGTGTGTTAAGCAGGCAACATAAACTTAAAAGTTTAGTATATTAAATATAATTAAGTAATAAGATTAACGTATATACAGTTTATCTCTCGGTAGTTGAAATTCGTCTATTTGAAGTTTGAAAAAAAAAATTAGGAACAGTTCACAAAAATAGTCACCATTTCGGATGTTTTTCGCTCATTTCTGTTTTAAGAAAGACCCGATGATCAATTATTTGAATTTCAAATGCGTAGGAGAGTATAATTGTTAACTGGCAAATTTGTACAGAGTGTGTGTTTTGACAGAGGAGTCGAAACAATTTGCATGAATACTTCTTTATTTTATCAAAAAATTAGAGGTGAACTAATATATTGGTCACGTGTTAACTGCTTGCAAAACGTATTTCAGATTTCTTGTTTTTCATGGAGAAATTAATTTCTTTTAGAAATTTGTCACATTCAAAGACTATATTTTACTATGTATTACAGTTGGTTGCCTGCAGTTTCGTTTGCTCCAAGCTCTCTATGTTTCGAGTCTTATATCTGGTATCGCCGTTAGACATTCCATCAGAGGGTTGACTGGATGCACGAAATGAAGTGCTTATGCGCGAGTTCTACGTTATTTATTAATTAGCCATTACCCAAAATGTGTTACCGGCTAAGATGTCACGGGGACGTTTGCTCAAAACGAAAAAAACTGCCTACCTCCCTAATTGTATTTCATTGCTTATAGGCTCATAATGTGGCTTTTGCGAAGCAGGGTAGGCTTCGATGTTTTTACATGGATTATTTTATCACTTTATTAGTAATCAAATATAAAAGGTACTTAACCCGCGTGTCGAATATGAATCGTGACAAATAATGTAGTTTTCTAATAAATTTGAAGAAGCAAGTTAAGTTTCCCAGCAGAAAACAGTTGAATCAAAAGTTTGCTTCAAGGAGAAGTTCTAAGCATCCAGGGGACTTTAAAACGTGATATGTCATTTAAAGTCATAAGATCTTAAAAAAGGCTTACGATTCTAGCTCCATGAATTGTTAGCAGGTAGTTTCTTTAATCACTTTATTAGGAACAGATTATGAATAATAGTAACAATAACCATCATCACCATCAGGTCGCTCACTTCTCGTATTAGTAGTAGGATTCATTCTAATAGGGACTCATTTTTGTTTTATTTTATTTTGTGTTCTGGTCTGATATTAATGCTCTTTCCGGCTGATATTTTTCCTGCCGGTTGTTGACGTGGCGTGACTGACCGACCGTTCTATAACTTCTAGCAATCACAATGGGTAAGAACCAGGCTTTACGAAACGAGCCACTTAAGTGGAGAAGTGAAACGCCAATAACGGAGGGCCAGTTGCGCTCGAAGAGAGCTGAGTTCTGGGATACAGCGCCAGCCTTCGAGGGTCGTCGTGAGATCTGGGACGCTCTAAGAGCGGCTGCAGTGGCCGCTGAAGGTGGTGACTACGCCCTGGCGCAGGCCATCGTTGACGGGGCGAGCATATCCTTGCCTGGTGGGACCTTGCTTGAATGCTACGATGAACTTGGTAAGAGATTGAAAAATGAGAAAAAACGCACTATCACGCGAAATCTACATACGTGTAAAACACGCAAACATATATTGGCACATGATGAATTTTGCGTGTGCACCATTTCTATTGAGATTTATGATCTGACTAACGGATAGATTGTTTGACCCTTCACGCACCGAGAAAAAACAGTTTATGTTGGCTTTATCGACCTTAAATGTGTTTATTCAAACCCAGATGTTTTGAAGACGTTTGTTAAGATTGCTCTTCGTTATCGCTGACGCTTTGTTTCAACAATGTTCGACAAGTTATTCTGGAAACTTGTAATTTACAAGCGCTTTCACTCTTATTTCGAGGCATAAAATTTTCAAGCCATCTGTACTGGTATAGAAGTCTCAGGCCTGTAGTGTTAGCGTTAAAATTTTAATCAGTGTCAACAATAAAAGAAGCTTCACATTTCGGTTGTACCATTGAATTCCTAAAAGAGAAACAGCTAATGATAGCTTATATACAAAGAACCAGTAATGAATTAAGATTTAGCCATATAAGTGGCTCACGGACTTTTTTTGGCAGATCGCGTACGCGATTTTTACGTTAACGCGAAACAAGCTTAATGCGTAGTCAGGCATGTACGTGCCCAAGCATAGTATACTAGAGGAAATCGTAAGGTTAAGCGGCCTCATTTAATCATAATCGGCCGAATCTTAAAATTAAATTTGATTAGATTTACCTTAACCGGACACATCTGTGTTCTAAAATAGATTGGATGATGTATTGTGGAAAAAAATTATTACACAGACACTTTTTTACTATTGTGCAGTTCCTTCGGCTCAAACAATATAATTATTAGGCCTCGTTTAATTCATTTAATCGTTTAACACAGGCAATCGTTATCAGCTTCCAATTTATTGTCTTTGTTCTCCAATCAATCTTGTTGAGGATTCATCGAGTTCTTTGAGCGACAGCCCATCGCCGGAAAGCGAGCCGTACGTCAGTGGCGAGGAACTCATTGTGAAGGTAATGTGTTTTGGCAGGAGCCTAATTAAACTTGTTTATTCGATTCATTATTGTAGCCATAAAATGAATAAGGGTTATTCAGAAAGGTAACTCTGAACACTAATTCCAATAACGACTCATAATCGCTCACTGGTCTTCGAAGTTCAACCTTGAGCCGTACGTTCTGATAATACGAAACATATATGTGTATAATCAATAACTATTATAGCTAGGTATTTTCGAGTGGTTTTGTTTACCTTTTGTCTACGCAGGTTCGCACCTCAACACAGGGACCCGATATGAAACTAACGCTCCGCACAGGAGAGACAATTTTACATGCTAAACGCAGGCTACAGGTTAGATGTTCACCATTGTTTTTATCCTATTTTAAGGTCTATAAGGGTAGATAAAGTTCGTTGACCTCGATTCATAGGTCGTCTTAATGAAAAAAATCGGGTGTCTAAACGCTGCTCTTGCAGCTTCGGAAGTTCCTATTGGTTTCTGAGGCAAGCTCTCAGGCTGTTCTCTTAAATGGATCAATGTATGTATGTATATCAAAAAGAAAAAAACTGATGAAAACGTACATCAGCATAAATAATGTTCAGCCAATCATTGCTACTAAATTGGAAAATCGGCCACAAGCCTTTTTTAATCTAGTGACTGTTTTCGGCGCATATAATTAACAAACTGTATTATAACAAATTGTAAACTATTACCTCTTGTTTCTACTAATTGTTAACTTGGAGTATATAAAAATGGAAGACGTTTTACAACCCAAGAGTCAGAATATATTTTTGCACTCAAGCTGTGTTCTGCTATGGCTATTCTATTTATTGTAAATCTGGACGACTTTTCAGGTTTATATTTGTTCAATGATAGTGTCGCTCATTGAAACTGTTACATATATCACCGATCTCTGTAGAGATCTGTGTCTGCAAGAGGAGCTGTACCATCTAACGTATCTTACTATGTTGTTCCTTTCCAGGGAGCCATTGAAGTGGACGCTGCTAACCAACGATGGTTTTTCGGCGGAAAATTGTTACAGGATAAGCAAAAAATTAGTGAGACCAAGCTTCAGTTCGGTCATGTAGTTCAAGTGGCGCTGCCACCACCTCCGTCCAATGACCAGATGACGTGAGGTTGCATTCTCCTACAGTTATGCCGAGTGATTTAGCGACAACACGCCACAACAAAGATGGCATAGGCTTTAATCTGTTCAGCATACCGTTTCAGAAGTATAAGCTTCCTTTGGTAAATGTCTAACGCTAGTGACGGCTTTGAATAAGTCGTCATACAAGAAACGTTAGGAGCCATCTTGATAGCGGTGTACTGAGCGTTTTATCTACGTAAAGTATAGGGATAAAACATAAAGGTCTAAGGCGAAGCAGGCTAGTGAAACAGTTGTCGGTCGAATTGTGTGTGTATATTTATGTCGGCCGAACGACAACTTGGTTGGTTGAGGCAAACCTCAGCCCAATCATGTGGATCAACAGGGCTCTGAATTATTTAGTTTAAAAGGATAAAATGTACATGGCTGCCAGCTCAAATGAGCATTTGCGGAGATGCCTGCGTAAATGTATGATGGATCATCGATTGAAGATGAGAATATAGCAGTGTGCAATAATGGCCATATTGTTTCAAGCCGGGACCATTGCCTTGCGAGCTAAACAGGTTCTAGGTTTAGGCTCGTCGATAAGTACAGGCGAGGACTTCTCTACTAACTGATTCTACTAGGAATACTTGAATTAGCAGCCAAGCTTTTTGATTAGGATTTCACTTTATCCGTTCGATAAATCTACCATCGAGCCAGTGAAGTGAGATGATACACAAATGATTGTTTTGCTATGAATTCTAGATGATTATCGAGCTTCTTGAGCCGACAATATATGATTTTGCATAACGACTTCATCTTAAAGATAGATATCAGTGACTCATGGCCGACAAAAGCAAACGAGCGCGAGGGTTCAGAGGAAATCTCATCGCCATTCCGCAGTCGCTACGTTAAGAGAGACAAATTGCTAAGATCGAGCAGTTCATATGGCGTAAAATATACTTTGTTCTGCAATTGCCCAGCTTGACGTTGCGAGATAGATGCCATCTGCTGAAACATCTTAATTATGTTTAACGAAGTTGCATTAATAATAGCAAAATAATGATAACGAGAGTGACACAATGATAATTTAATTGCACGCTAGATACGTTTAAGAATGGGATTTTCTACAAGCCGTTCCTTAATTTGTTGGCTGCAAAGCTGGTAAGCGTCAGTGTGTATGTGCCATGAAAAGAATCTCACAGTAAGTTGGTCGTTCAGAGTCCACAACAAAGTAAATAGATGGTTGAAGAACGACACATTGTACATTGTATTTAAGACACAAATTGAAAAATTAACAAATTCTCTCTCTCATATATATATATATATATATATATATATATATATATATATATATGGTAGTGAAGATAATAATAAATAGAGAGGGGTGGCTGACAAGTACACGTATTCCATGAAGAGAACTGTGTGAAATAAATAACGATATATTCGTAATGCAGGTGCATTGATTGTAGTTACCGTATCTCTTAGTATTGTTACCATAGCTCACACGTTGCGTGCCTCATCTAAAGATCGAACAGACAAATAGGAAGAGAGCTACGGCAAACTGCACAAAGGTAAGCAAAAGGCCCATAGGTGGAAACTTAACGTAGACGGTGCAACAGCTAAATCCAGCTCAATCGACGACCTTTTTTTTAAGTCATTTTGACGACACCTTTAAGCGATGTAGTTTACTCAAAAATGGTCATTGCGAAATTTCTTTAGGATTTTGACAAGGGCATTCGTGTGACACTATCTTATTTGTTTTCCAATATGACTGCCAGTTGCCTCTTTGCTTTCATTGATTCGTTCCCGAAACCTTGTCTAAGTTCAACTTGCATAAATTGAACGGCCACAGTTTCAGCTCAATTTTTATACCAAACTTATGTTGTAAATGTTTAGCTTTCCCTAGAGACGGCGGCGGCTTGAGGTGACAATCACCAGCTGTTAACTAATGTAATGTAAAATCTAAACACAAAAAAATTGTTTGCAGCTGCTCTGGAAATGTCATAGCGCGTCCAATTTCTTCCAGTTTGACTTAATGCACAGCACTAAGAAATAGCAGGGAAAGATTCATGGTTGCGCGCAATAAAACGGCGTTCACTCAGTCCTAAGGGTTTTGTGCAATTCATCTTTGGGAAATGTTAGAAAAGAGACAACAGACTTACCATGGAGGTCATGATAGAAAGGACCAAACTTCTACACGACCGACTGGCGAGTAGCGATAAGCGAGTGTATAAAACCTGTAGCTCCTATCGTGGTGAGTACTAGTAACTAGTTCCTTTTTAATTTGTCAAGTCTTCTCCTATCCGTTTAACTTTATATTAGATCTTTCTAATTTTTCAAAAGTTGAATAGAAACTGACATTTGTACATCATGGATTTCGACCACTCAAGTTTTTTTCTACTACGCGAATATCTGCGACAATTTCTGCAAACAAAAATTCAGCTTGCTATCACAACCCAACAGCACTATTTGCGAATTGTTGCTCAATGAAGTAAATTAAATGCATGCAGAAATGATCTTTATGGACTTTCAACCGTATTTATTGCGGGTCGAACTGAAAAAGTACGACACTGAAACTGCATAGAAGGTTCATACGAATATATAGAGGTACTTCCGATGTATATGTGTATCTACTTTGATTCATCTACATTTTTGCTAGAAAATACACATAATAAATGTTAAAAAATAAATTGGAACGTTTACTATTCTGAGAGATGCAGAAATGTAAATTAAGCATAAGATGTAAAGAAAGGAGAAATATCAAAAAACGACGAGTGTTCGAATATTTTTCGACGTCCATCATGAGATATGTGCGGGAATCGAGTCGTTCTTTCAATATTATTGTGAGACCACTTCCTTGTGCCGGTTACAAAGACCACCCTTAAGCATCGCATAGGATTATGAACATCGTTCAGTAACAAAATGAGACTTGTATTCACAATTCAAAATACCTCCTTTTATTCTAGCAGTTTTCATTTTTTAAAGCTACATATCTGAAGTGAATGAAAAAGCTCAGAAGGCGCGCTTCAGGAGTAACCCTGTGACACATTTTCAAAGGAAAGTATGTGATGTGTGCTGTTTGTTCGAAACGACTAGTCGAGGTCTTTACTATACTGGACCCGCTTTTTTAGACCGATGATTATAACCTGGAGCAAGGCATTTAAATATGGCATTGGCGATCTAATGTGACTATCTTTAGATTAGGAAGTTCCCTTTAAGGATCAACTCAAATGAACATGAATGTTCTATTGTTTCGCACACTTCGCAGCTCCATACGTCTCGAGTTTGTTGTTTGGTGCTTACTCAATGTATTTAATGTACGCTAGGTCTGGTTTTTGCTACCGCTAAATGTTTTCTTAGAAATAACCACAAGACGCTGCCAAGTTGATCAGCTAAGAGGAACTATGTAATGCAACAGAGACATATTTGAAGCTCTTTACAACACACTATCTATCTGTCTACGAAATGAGAAAGCACAAAGAATCCCGTTAGAGTTACATTAATTGGTCGAAATATCACTCAAAGTATGTTACATCTCAGACGCTTGGAGCTGATGCGATCTTGAAATGCGTCGAAATTGAAAATATCTTTGTGTTAGGAAACAACAGCGCGGTATATTCGTAGGTTTCTAAGATTAACAGTTGATCGCTTCTCTGGACTGACATCTTTTATGTTTTCATTTATGATTTTTTAGGAACTACAGTCAGAACGAAATATATATATTTTTTTATAAAATGTTGCGTAGGCGACTAGTTAGACGTACAAATGTGTTAATGCGCCTCGTTACGGTTTTGGCGCTTGACGCTAATGAACCTATACCCACCCCTGCCGTTTAATGATCTGTTTGTAAATTAAATAAGAAAATTCGTAAAGTGTGTTTGTTGCCGTTCTGCTATCGTTTGCTATGCCGCTATCATTTTTCCTATTTTTGGGATCATTTTAAAATATTTTTTAATTTTTTTTTAAATCTTAAATATTTTTACGCGTATAGGTCATCTAGCGTCAATCTGAGAGTAAACCATGCGTCTAGATTTCCTCACACTTTTTGTCCTATTGTAAAATATATTATATATAGATATCTCTTTTATTATCTGGCAAATATGCATCTGGACGTGCCGCCGTACAAGCTTACGTCATATACTTGATGTACTGAATATTTAATTATAGCGGTAGATAAATTTACTTATATTAATAATACTAGGGTGCTGAACGAAAACACCCTGTACGCTGGAGGGGAATTTCGTATTTTCTGGGCACAAATCGGGCCCTTCAAATGTTCCGCAGACTCTTTGCCGGTGTTTAACGAGATAGTGGAAAAGTCGCCACTCGCTCATATGACTCGGTAGCTGGAATCATATATTTCTACTGAAAAACATCAAATGACTTAAAGCAATCTGTGCCTGAAATCGGGTATATGACTGATTTTTATGTACTGAAACGTAATCAATAATGCTCACTAATTATAAAGTTATGTAATGAAAAATTTTTAAATTCATTCCGATTACTTTTAGAGGCTCCCTTCAGGCTCTGAAAAGATCGAAGATCGTAGAATAATTAAAGATCATCTCGCGTTATAAAATATGAACTAACTGGGTTGTTTTAGAACTATACAAAATATAAGTTTTTTAGTATTTTTTTTAAATTTCTTTCTTTATTCAATAGACATCTCATCGGACAATAAATATAAAGTATTGCGTTAAACAGTCAGCTTTCTAATGTATGCTTAGACTTTACCACACCAAAAAATACTTCAGCGTTTCACAAAAACACCAGGTCGACTAGTTTCCATTGTTTGCTTGACAAGAAATTGAGACTCTTAACCTCAGGCTCGATCAGGCTTATCATCACATTTCTTAGATTTTGACACATCATCGTTGCATTATGTATAATTAAATTACACTTATCACACAGTCGGGTCATTCTCATTGATCGGATCATTTTAGTATTAACTCCTTGAATGTTTTTTAAGTTTCTGGCACAACAGATACCGCATATAGGCCCACGATTCTAATTCTGTTAATGAGGATACCCGAGACATGCATGAACAATATAAATAATTTGATACAGATGGCGTATTGCTAAAAAAGTCTCTTCTTGTCATTCTTCGACGAGCTTTTGCTTCTTCTGAACTTCGAAGTATCATGGTTTAATGCCTTAAAGAAGCTGAACAAAGCATTTCTATATCAACAAAAATATGTATATTATAGAAATATGGTTTCAGAATAGCGGTACCTCGAAACGAACCGCGTTAAAGAACTGTAAATACATACTAAATCACATAAGGTTATTTCTTAGTGTTCATCATTGTATGGTACGGACGCAACTTAGTCGCAAAGGCTAAAGTGTTTGTTGTCCGATACAATTTGTTTTACCAGAGGCCAACCCCGATGCTGCGGACTTAGAAATGTACATACCAATTTGTCTTGCAGTAAGTGATAAATTTAATTTCTGTTTTCAAACTAGTACTTGTTCCAAGCTTCGAAGGAATGAACGTTAGAGAAAATTTCACAGCAATAGTCTCTGCAGCTGTTTAACTAGCTGCCGTGTCACAGCTGGACTGCACGTAGTCCTTAGTGCACGCTGCCATTCGGCGTATCTAGGAGTCTCATGATGCGAATTCTACATACCTATCGTCTTTAGTGCTGTCGCTGAGTGTAGAGTAATCGAAGCTATCGATATCATACAGCGCATTACGAGACACCTCCTTTGAAGACATGGGCTGACATACTGCTTCAAAACAGTCTAAACCATCTGTAACGCATCAGTGAGGCTCATTTAATTCCGATAAAGCAACAGGCGATAACAACATTTGTTCGGCAGGGGCCGTCTGTTAGGAAGCGAGTCTTAGGGCCATAGCTGTAGGTGTTCTAATTCCTCAAGTCCCTGCAACGTCACATAAATACTACACAACTTGTGTTGATAGAGAAACTTATTATATATGTACTTAAGTACAGTGTATTATGTAACGTATAGGTGTTATTTAGAATATGCAAATTAAAATACAAGACGCTTAAGATATATGTGAATGAAAATAATCCACCAATCATGCAAGACTATTAGTGTATATGACGCCTATTAGAAAATGTCTTCACCTTCACACGGGCAGAAAAGCCGATAAACTCCATGAACTTCGATGAGTCGTCCACCAGGATAGAGTAGCGTTTTGTTTTCAGGACGAGCACCCATCAAACAATTCTCACCCACAGTCGCTTGGCGAACGCAGGTGGGACGTGAATATCGGGACATTCCTGCGTCGTTAAAAAACAAACGACATTATTTCCTGAGACCCTCTGACTCTAACAGGGGTACTACCTCGACTAAGTTCGATAACTTAACCGTACGATATAACTGTGCGTAACTATTTCAATGAATATAACATTCACGTTGGCCAGAACATAAAAACAGAGACGCTTATTCGCTGCTCGGTCATGGGGAGGAACGAGTGAGTATACATGATATGGCTCCTTTTGCATACAGCAAACCAATACAATTTAACTTTGCGTCGTCATAAAGCGGCTTTCAATATGAAACGAAGCGATTTCAACAATAAAATAATTAATCGCATCGATTTCACGGAAGAAGAGAAGGGGACAAAGCAAGTTACCCCAGAAATAGTGCTGCGATAAGCTGGTCGCCTACAACTTCGGTCAGCCAATTTCTAGACCTTTAAGCATACACACAGACGATTTAATTATTTGAAATGAGCTCGACTGATATGAGCAAAAAATATATCTTCACTTATGTGAAGAGTTACAACCTCCCGGTAATCATATTCTCTTCGATCAGGCGGAAACGTACAACTGGCTGCCTGTAGGAAATCTTGCAATATAACAGTAATAAAAAAGAAGCAATAGTAAACAAAGCCTTAGCGGTGAGCCTCACGTTTGTCCGTCTAGCTTCCTGCTTGCGGCAATTATAAAATAAATCGGTTGCGGAATGAGAAATTTAGGCAACTTTGTAGCTTCAGTCTTCACAACTTAACACATGTCAAGGTTGAGAATGATTTTACTAAAGCTTTACTGCGCATATACTATCTACCTACAAACAACAAACAAATGCGCCGGAAACGCCTAGAGTAAGCATGAAGTGTCTCCCATTGTATGAGCATCCGCTAATGGCTTGAAGTCATTTTTTCATTTGAGCAACAGGAAAATATTCTTCACATGCACGTTTCTCGCAGCCATCTGGATCGTGATGCAAACATGTACTTTAGTCCACCTTTTGTCTTACTATCGCTACCGTCTGGAGCCAGCTAATTACGACTGACGTCGTGCTCCTCGGCACAATTACCCGCATCTGTAACAAGAAGCAATTGGGCAAAAACTAGCAAGTCTTTTCTCTCGGTTATTTTTATCGCAAGCTACAACAAATTGTTAGCCGTTCTATGATACAGAAGTACTAGACAAACAGCACTCATGTATGTAACATATTTGTAAATGATTATTGTATTTGTATGTAAGTTTTTCTTTGCTCATTTGTCTCTAGGGCAAACGGTAGCGTTAAGAGTTACTAAGCGCTGAAGCTGCTATCCGCTACATAATAATGGAGACAATGAATTTACTCTTCCGCTAGTTTTACTAACGTTTGTGTAACAGCATTGTTTGATGGTGTTCGAGTTGCCGCTATTACCCCGGCGTTTCTCTACCCAGATCTGTTGCTCTACGTTTTCTATTACATTACTATACAGTTCGTATTAGTTTCACTTAGCAAGCAATAGGATGTTACTTTGGGACACACTTTATAGAAGTGGCTTAGACAATTTCAGTGTATTTGATCGTCGCGTTGCTCCGTTGTGCACCTATTTCAGTGCGATGGTTAGAAAAAAATCTCTGGCTCAATACGTCCGGTCACGGTTCACTTCAGGTAGACTTTTATTGACGGCAGCAATCGACAGAAAAGCGTGAGCTAAGCTGAAGACTTGGCTTCTGAGAAGGCGCCCTATTGAGAACTAAACACCGCATGATACTGACACTGTCGAGGTGAAACACTAGTCCCATTAAATAAAACAAAAGTCTTCTCGTAGAAAAGTAGTCAACATTTATCTAACTTTAGTCAACGCAGCTTGAAAAATTTAACAATTGAACGATAAATAGTAGAATCGTGATCACGCAACGATCTGGCTAATACTGCACGTTCAAAATACATGCTGCACGCAGCACGGTTCTGTCCTGCTGTCGTGTGTTGCTGTGTATGGTATATTCATTGATGATTTCTAAATGTATGATATCTATGAAAAAAATATCGATACGTTTCGAACTGCCAAAACAAATGGCTTTGTATCAACGCATATGAAAATTTGCAATAGTAGCCTAGGCCAATAAGAATAAACCTGGTTCGGGACTACGGGCAGGAAGTTCTTTTAAATACCGTAGGGTATACTTCTGTTGCAGATCCGAAACGGTAGTTTTATACAATAATGAATGTAAGTTTTATGTATTTTGGCATGAATCGCGATTAAGCCAACTTGTGTCTATTTCAGTGCAATGAAGTAGTAGGACGTAAACGTATAATGTATCACACACTAAACCGCAGTAGTATCGTAAAGCGTCGTTCTCCGTTATCCATAGAGCCGAGTTTTCTTGGACCTAAATTTACTCGGAGGTACGCTTGCTGTTTGGAGCATCTTTGGGGTTATTGTTAAAACTACCGGTTATTTCAACAGGTTGCGATTGCTTATTAGGTTATTAATGCGACTTACAGGGGGCTATCCGTCCGCATCGACGGTTCCTCTCAATGTTGAACAGGGACGCAGCATTTCACAGTGCAATAGCCATTTAGCCAACAGAATCCGATTATGAATTAATTAAAGGAAATGAACGATCCTAAATTGGAGTTAGCTTCTATAGGACGTATTATACTACGCCGTAATACCGTAGCTTTGGTATAGGCAAGTTTAGGATATGGAACGATTTTGATCCAGTTCAATCCAAGGGTCCCATAAAACTGGCCTAGTTTCCTCATAACAAATAAACGACGTAAGCAAACACAAGCCGTCTGTTTAATCAGCCATAGAATACGCTAGCGAGTATTTTTTTTTCTTTGTAATCGACGTGACCCTGTGGCCCTCTGCAAACTGTTAGTTTTAAGATACTAAAAGTTTTGATAAAATGCAACTTGCACTTTTGATTATTCTAATAATAAACAAAGGCGACACTTGGCAAACTTTTCTCTCAAGCCGAGCGTTGCGTTTTAGAGCGTATACGATTTTTCAGGGGATCCTTACAAAAGACTGCTACAAAGTCCGCGACTATATGAAATCAGCATTGCTGTAGGCTAAACGATCCATTGCAAACTACATGATATCGAAACTTGGGGTCGGTGACAATTACAGAAGAAAATCATTTTGATTCGGAATTATTAAAATATATAATTGAGTACTCTTCGATGTCTAGACACGCGGTGTCTAAGCTACTTCTATTTTTTTTTACGCTTTAAACTCTGCTCGCTTCATTTACTACTTTGGAGCATTGTATTCAAATGGGATGTGTAACATGATTGGCTGCAACCCCCCATAGCTGCCTCCATAGATATCCTTTAGTCAGAGAAAGGGCGGATCATCAGTCGTGCTAGTTAAGCACTACGTTGGATAATGTATCTAACTGTAATAGTGTCTAATTGTACGATGCTTTGATTTAACACTCCGTTTAGGGAAAACTACTCCGGATGCATCTCTGTCTATATCTATTAGGACAGGATTTATTGCTTGACACCACCTGTTACAGCAGCCCAATTACGGGGGATTGTAAATCGCCATTGTGTCTGAGTGGTCGAACGTGAATATGTTCTGGTGCTTATTGATTTATGAAGACGCCGCTTCGAAGTACGTTGCTAAGGAAAATATCGGGTCATCAAATGTTATGGAAATATTTGAAAAATCTTTAGGTTCATGGCTTAACTGGCGCCAGTTTGTGAAGCTTCTCTAGCCACGGAATTGCTCAGAACTGCAGAAGTTCAATTACTAGGTTACTTCTGACATCATCTCCTGCCATCTCCACTGTTATTCTTACTCACTTGTTGCTTAAGATATCATAATCGTCTCCCACTGAAGATTGCTAGCACGAGGATCTAAATATGGTTTTAATACAAGACAAAGTTATTTGACAATAACCATAAAAAGCTAATGATGTGCTATCCAAATTGCGTTCTATTGAAGCCCAGAATATTTGTTATATATATATATATATATATATATATATATATATATATATATATACATATATTACACAGATAAAATAAAAGTTCTTTTAAACTTTCTTTTTAATTTTTTTTTTATTATGCTGAATGGTGCTTAAGACTGATTTAACAGTACAAATTTGCCTAAACGCACGTTCCGAGGTTCTAGTTAGGAAAAATAGCTTTTCAGATTCGGTTAAACCATAGGGGTTACCCGTATATAAAATCAAACAGAACAAGAAATAAACAACTAGGGAATGTATCACCTGAGCCCGCATACTAACCTACTAGGCAGCACTCGTTTGTACTACAATCACCAGGCTTTGAGCAGAAATTCCCCAGCCAATGGTCGGATCCGGCCATGGCAGCTGTCAGGATTGAGGTAGCCACAAATACCGAGTTCAGAGGGCAGCGGAACATCTTTCAAGGATCACCTGCATTAAATACAAATGACATCAAACAGGTATTTTCATCGTTAGTCTAGATCCAAATGATCGATTACTAATTTAGCTAAATCAAACTGTTCGATAAGTGACCAGAAGCATGGGATCCTTATGGCAGACTTCGTTTTAGGAGAGATGACATTTTATATGTTTTCTTTAAGTCCGTGCTACTTGAGCGCAATTCTGAACAGCTACATTGTTTGCATGCTACTTAGTATTGCGTTCCTGTCCAAGTTGATTGCGACAATTTACGCCATCAGGCTCCCAGGTCGTCCAACATGTCATGCCGCAGGCATCAGCAGAAGAACATGCTTTTGTAACTTCACATATTCGCATTTTAGGGCCAGCATTCTGAATAATCAAAAAAAAAAATATATATATATATAGCTATTGGTAAACTGTACAAGCTCTGATATCGTTTAGCCGCAACGTTGAGGTAGAGGCGAGATTCGCTACGATCATTTATTTATGTGACGTCAGTGCGAGCTGAAGCTGTTAAAGACGGCGTTTGCCTCGTCCTTGTCCTGCTGGAAATGACTATCTCACCGTACGACAGCCATCGAGAATTCTGGCCATCTGTTGGCGCCCAACTCAAAATGAATCCCACATGAATACGTGATACATCCAGTATTACAAAATGTGTCGACTGTAAGGCAACAATATAGAAAAGTCGATAGAGCAATGTCTATATACAATTACAAACACCTGTTGCCGTGGCAAAGGTTAAGCAACGGGACGAGCTCATACTAACATTATCATATAATGAACAGCGTTACTATCTAGCATGTCGATCTGCGCAGCGGTAACATACGACCGGCATCATTATCAACAAACTTTAACCTTTTCACCACAGTATTTCGCAGTGTTCTACTGGTACTAGACGAAGATGCTGCTTCCTATCATCGTATCGATTAATTATTACAGCCAATTATTATTATTATTATTATTATCAACGTTTTTGTACGTCACCACTGAAAAAAGCAGGAAACGACTTCCAGTAGCCAGCCACAGATATCGAACTATAAAAAAAAAAAAAAAAAAAAAAAAAAAAAAAAGCCAAATTGTATGGCGGCGTGCGTGTTGTAACTAGCACGGCTTTCATTAGAGCAAATACGGGGAATCAGTGATCGGTGAAACGGTCATACCTACTACCATATCCTACTCCCGGAGCGTACACTGTATCTTTAATTCATCAACAATCGCGCTTGCCCCCAACTTAACAGAAGGTAATAATATAAAAAATAAGTTTCAAATTTCGAACACCTAGCCTCCGGACACCATTTTGCAGTCGGTTTCCTAGGGCGAAAATCCGGAGCGGAAGTCGCGTTATAGGGAACTGAGCTATAACGAACTTGGCATTAAGTAGAGTATTATTAAAGACAGATCGATGCTATAGGTACGACATGTGGGCAATGAGTTTGTGAAACTGGTCACGACACGCTCTTCAATTGCGGTGTTGATAACAAAATAGGGACGCAATCTAAAAAACTGACCCAATGTGAAAATGGGCTCACGGAGGCGGATTCAGATATTTCACCCCGAAGAGATATTTCACTACGATTTTAAACTCAATTCGCCAATTACTACCAGCTCAACCACCTGTGAAGGTAAATACTTAATTTCGATGTAACGCGGAAGTTATAATGTAACAGCGTTAAATCTACTATATGATGATGCATTTAAGGGTAATTAAAAGAGTGCCGTATTTTAGATATATCAAGAAAAACAAATTGATATATGAGTGAAACGACGAAATTATTGAGATGTAACAAACGCTGTCGAGAAATATGTTTTAGAGTATTTTCGCCGAATCCTGTGAGGTGAAACAAACTGTATTAGAGCTATTGACATCTCTAAAACATATGACGGAAATTATAACCTCTATATTTAACTAGTGTTTCGAACGTATGCGTCTCGACACTCTACGTAAGCAATGCCGTACGTCGCCAGAAACGTCGGACTCAGCAGTGATCTTTTTCCAGCGCTTAAACAACGTGCAGTCATGATCGATCGACGCAAAACTCTCAAAGGGCCCCCTCGACTTTTAACGAAACATAAAAATACTCTATTCTCTCAAATGAGATCATATTCTCTATAAAGAAACGCAGCCGTATCATCAAAAATAACTAAATAAATGCAACGATTTATTTAATCCAACATGACCAGTTTGTGTACGTCTGGTAGACAAACTGGAAAAGTGACGTCGATAAATGGTTTTCATACGGGCAGCAAATTGTCAGGTATAAGGGGATTACCGGGTTAGACTTATAAACTTTAGTGTGTAAATAGAAAATAATTAGATAATTAAAATGCTTTCAATAAGTTCATTCAGTTTCCGCTCCAACAGTAGCCTGTATGTAAGCTATAATTATATTATTTCTACTCGCGCCTTACAAGAGGATAATAGACCCTTTTTCTAGCTTTATATTGCAAGCAAAGGGGATAGCAACTACTAGTAATCGGCTTCAATAGAATAGCACATCCACATTAGTGCTGATTAACAAGATAGGCCATACAGTACAAACGCAGAAAAATTATTCAGAAACGCTTTTTATTTTCGATTCGGAAAACAGAAAAATCCTTTTTATCAAAGATGAAGTACGCCTTCCCTAGATAAGAAGTTCAGACTTTTAATGGGAAGTTAGTTTCAGCCGAAAACGTATTTCCTTTTGCAACGAATGGTAATGTCACAGGGATACAACGAAAACATTATATCTACTGCATCAGTTACCGAGCGTTTTTTTTTAAAGTTTTGTACACACACTATGATGCACATATGGAACCATACGTGGACATAGCTTTAAATATACACATCGTCGTTTAAGAAAAACATCGAGTAGCTTTTTTGTAACCTTGCTTTTTACTATTTGTTACGTTGACATCAAGCCTCTTTCAACGCACTCCTTCGCCTGAACGGAAGGCCTTATGAGGGAACGCTTCTGCTACAAATGCCATTTAAGTCATCTGAAGCAATAATTCGCCGTCGCACTAAACACCAAACTCGAAGCCATTAACTTACTAAACTTGTTTTCCACTGAACTCTCAGAACATCTGCAGTAGCTGGTATCTCCAAGGAAGGGCCATTGAAGCGGCTTTCTAAGGCTGCTGCTGCTGTTGCGTACATTTGTTTAACATGTAGAACATAATGGTTAAGCAAAAGCTATAATATTTTGAATTTTTTTTTACACATATTGAATTTTGTAAAACGCAAAAATTCACGAAGCATTGCTGCGAATAATCTCAGGAAGCTTGACTTTGGATGGCAGCATACAACCGGTCGAAAATAATCAAAATCTACTGAACGTTTATTAATATCTTTGTTACTTAAAACGGTGATCACTTTACTGAAATACATGTCAGCCATCGTTTAAAAATGACAAGATATCCCGTCACCTTGGATAGTAAAGATGACCTCTTAGGCGTTCAGCATATATGTGGTTAGCGTTCCTTATTTTGTCATGCCCAGTGGTAGTTAAGCTTACCCAGCATAACGACCTCTATGTATATTGATAATTAACACAAACCAGCATTAGACTAGTTAAGCGTGTCTCGCATCCTCCAATCTTTTCACATACAGACTCGAAATTCCTCTCAGCTGTAGGAACGTGTAGTAGCATAGGCTACATTTTTTCGAGGTTTAAGAAAGGCGAAACTCGTCCAATCATAGCGTGAGGTTTACCACTTTCATTAGGGGCGATGGAATGCAAATATAGACTAGAAATTACCGCAAAGGAATTCACATTTGGTTTCTCACTCGTCTCGTTTGACACTATCTCTCATGGGGACTATAGAAGATGTGTGTACTCATTCCATATCTATCTGAGTTTTTTATCGCATGTGTTATGGCATAAACATGAAATAAGGCGTGTTATTAAACACCAATAAAAGTGATAAAATCGCTTCGTGTGCATCTTTATAAGATACCAACTCAATACTCCAGGAGGCCGAACTCCTGGATTACATGCTGACGCTATTCAGTTGACCTTGATGAGGGCATTAGCGAGCACTACCAAGCATTATGTTATTTAAGCGATAATTACGTGTTTTTATTTTTAGAGCTCCGAGTGATTTTAATGCTCTGAGTAGTCGGCTGTTAATGAGGCAAACTCAAAACATTTCCCACCATTATTCACAGTGATGTTTGTTTTATCGGTCTTAAACGCACCTTTGCCGCCATTATCGAAATGTGTGTGACCGTGGTTTTGGCCAGACCGCTGTGACTGTTAACGTTCAATCCCACCAACGTTGAGCTGTCTGATTTTTACTCGTGTACTACACTTCAGACATTGTCATCAAGGCTGTGACCGTCGCCGTCATCGCTGCTGTAACTACCATTACCACCGAACTATCATTGTTGGCGATTTGACGATTCGAGGAGCTTACTTATGTATGTATATTAAGTCACTTAAAGCTACGTCTGTTTAGAAACGTCGCGTAGGAGCTGAGAGATACATCAGCACAGTAGTCGTTGGTGACTAATGCGTTTTCGGTAAAGTCAGCTTCTACCCGCCCGTCTGAGGTCCTCCTACGTTTACTTCGGCTCGGCTGTTCCGCCCATCAAAATTCTCGGCCGAGTGTGTGCCACTAATTCTCTATTGACGACCGCCAAATAACAACAATCCAGACCGCAACTCGAAAATGTACCCGTGTTATTTGGCTATTAATACTGCTTTACCAATCGTATGGTTGGTCGATGGTCTACTGCGAACGGTGTCTTCACGTATGCCGGCCTGATACGCATAGGAGGGAATCGGTTGTTTGTAATGGTATAGATACACATATTCCTCAAGTTGCCTTCAAATGATAGATGTATGGAGATAGCAAATAGTGTCCTTTATGCACGCTATCACCCGAAGTAAGCGCATGAGAACGATCGAAATGGACGCAAATACGATCCTGAGTTTACGCTTCTTTTGAAGCACGTGAGGGATGGCGGGAAAAACGTTTATTTAAAGAAGGAAAGATGCGGCAAGGCCCTACACCTTTCGCGG